GACAGCAGGGATGTCAGGCCCCTGGTATATGTTGTACCATAAAGAGTGGATGATAGCAGGGATGTGAGGCCCCCTGGTATATGTTGTACCATAAAGAGTGGATGACAGCAGGGATGATAGCAGGGATGTCAGGCCTCCTGGTATATGTTGTACCATAAAGAGTGGAAGACAGCAGGGATGTGAGGCCCCCTGGTATATGTTGTACCATAAAGAGTGGATGACAGCAGGGTTGTCAGGCCTCCTGGTATATGTTGTACCATAAAGAGTGGATGACAGCAGGGATGTGAGGTACCCTGGTATATGTTGTACCATAAAGAGGGGATGACAGCAGGGATGTCAGGCCCCCTGGTATATGTTGTACCATAAAGAGTGGATGACAGCAGGGATGTCAGGCCCCTGGTATATGTTGTACCATAAAGAGTGGATGACAGCAGGGATGTCAGGCCCCTGGTATATGTTGTACCATAAAGAGTGGATGACAGCAGGGATGTCAGGCCCCCTTGTATATGTTGTACCATAAAGAGTGGATGACAGCAGGGATGTCAGGCCCCCTTGTATATGTTGTACCATAAAGAGTGGATGACAGCAGGGATGTCAGGCCCCCTGGTATATGTTGTACCATAAAGAGTGGATGACAGCAGGGATGTCAGGCCCCTGGTATATGTTGTACCATAAAGAGTGGATGACAGCAGGGATGTCAGGCCCCCTTGTATATGTTGTACCATAAAGAGTGGATGACAGCAGGGATATGAGGCCCCCTGGTATATGTTGTACCATAAAGAGTGGATGACAGCAGGGATGACGATGTGAGGCCCCCTGGTATATGTTGTACCATAAAGAGTGGATGACAGCAGGGATGTCAGGCCCCTGGTATATGTTGTACCATAAAGAGTGGATGATAGCAGGGATGTGAGGCCCCCTGGTATATGTTGTACCATAAAGAGTGGATGACAGCAGGGATGATAGCAGGGATGTCAGGCCTCCTGGTATATGTTGTACCATAAAGAGTGGAAGACAGCAGGGATGTGAGGCCCCCTGGTATATGTTGTACCATAAAGAGTGGATGACAGCAGGGTTGTCAGGCCTCCTGGTATATGTTGTACCATAAAGAGTGGATGACAGCAGGGATGTGAGGTACCCTGGTATATGTTGTACCATAAAGAGTGGATGACAGCAGGGATGACGATGTGAGGCCCCCTGGTCTATGTTGTACCATAAAGAGTGGATGACAGCAGGGATGTCAGGCCCCCTGGTATACGTTGTACCAGAAAGAGTGGATGACAGCAGGGATGTGAGCCCCCTGGTATATGTTGTACTATAAAGAGTGGATGACAGCAGGGATGTGAGCCCCCTGGTATATGTCGTACCATAAAGAGTGGATGACAGCAGGGATGTCAGGCCCCTGGTATATGTTGTACCATAAAGAGTGGATGACAGCAGGGATGTGAGGCCCCTGGTATATGTTGTACCATAAAGAGTGGATGACAGCAGGGATGTCAGGCCCCCTTGTATATGTTGTACCATAAAGAGTGGATGACAGCAGGGATGACGATGTGAGGCCCCCTGGTATATGTTGTACCATAAAGAGTGGATGACAGCAGGGATGTTAGGCCCCTGGTATATGTTGTGCGTTAAAGAGTGAATGACAGCAGGGAAGACGCTGTGAGGCCAATCAGCTTACTGTCAGTGGTGGGTGGCTATTATCCTTCAGAACACATTGATTATTGGAAATATTGACCTGATTCACCAGGACAGGAAGAACTTGAACACAACTATGAAATATGAGGACCATATCCGGAATACCAGAAATCCATCTGGCTTTGTGCACAAGTCTCGGCAGGCCTACACCATTTCCTTTGCTGTGCACAAGTTAAATAGATATATTCCTGAACATAAGTATTTTATTTATGATCTGATTACAGATGGAATAATATTTGTCAAGCACCACTCATGAAAATATCAGCTTTGTAATGTGATGATAGACATGTTATTTCACCATGTTGACAAATATAGCATCCCTGCCCTAATATATCCGCACCCTCATCACCGTGATACATGAGGCTGCCGTGCTCATTTCCTCCCCTCCTTGAATACTTCGTGAGTTAAGTGTCATACATACATCTGAAAAAAGTTAAGCACCACATCTTTCTTTCCACATATTCTGAGTTTCCACGTATCTTTTGATATTGTCCACATTTGACATAGACCTTGTGTTAATATATGCCTTGATACCATCGATATCTGACAAGTTGCTCCATGATGTGTTACCCACATGGTGAAGATACAGGTGGTGAGATACTGTATCTGTATCCGTAAGTCTGTATCTTAAAGTTGTTTATACTTAAATACATATTTAACATGGGTAATAAATAAAATACCACACCCATTCTCGTTAGATACCATTTTTACAAAAGTCCACTAGTTTCGTGAAAATGGTATCTAACGAGAATGAGTGTAGTATTCTGTATATCATCCTCCAGAAGGCTGCAAGGATGGTGTGACATCATATGATGCAAAGAAGAAGAAGCAGTAGAAAGTGGAATCTCATAACTATCTCTATGGACGAAGTAGACACAATTTATGGATAACAACTTCTTTATTGTACCGTAATCATGTTACTATCATCATTAGGGTTTACATCCAAATACCATTGTCAAGCAAGACTGAATAAGGCAATAATAAATTAATTGCTAAATTATCATCCCGCCATTTCATGTTTACAACATGCCATAAACTGGTCTACAACCGACTCTCAGTGCGTGCCCGCCTATTGTCTGCTTGCTGTCAGCTGTCAAGATGGTGCTCCCTGTTTTGAAAATATGAGAGGGTGTGCAAACCATTAAAGACTGGTATGCCTGTCCTTTGCCAGAGTCAATGACTCTTCAATAAGTCTGATTGTGGGGAACTAAATGACAAGTTAACGTCAATTGAGAATAAATTCACAAACGCATGAGTACAAGTTGGGAAAATAGCCAGGAAAATAGCCAGGTACTATACAAGATCTTCCCAACAACCATCTGCAGCACATATATTCTCTCTTGGTTCACATACAATCAACAATGTCCTTTTAGCCTGTTTCATTTATTTTATACCCAATGTGAGTAAAAAATAGGTTGAAGCAAATCTGAACATGTTGCAAACCCCGACCTAAATTACTTTCAAGTTTTCTTTTTAATTTAAATCCTAATTTTTAAACAATGATCATATATATAAAGACAATTACAGAATAACATTTTCTGAACCATATTCCCCAAAAAATATAAAAAATCACAGGTACAAACATAGTTCTAATCATGTCTTTAACCAGATCAATATTTTACCCATACTATCGGAATTGCCAGCAGTCCCTGTTGTTTCCCACACAAGAATGCATCAAGGGAGACAACTCCTACTCTGGCATTGTTTAATGATATTGAGCTTTTCTGTCAGGTATTCCTTATAGGAAATTCTGGGCGGTAGGGCAACCTAGTGGTTACAGTGTTCGCTCGTCATGCCAAAGACCCGGGTTCGATTCCGACATGGGTACATTGTGTGAAGCTCAATATGGCTATTAAATGCGGTGTAAAACCATACCGTACTTTCTTGAATATTGTTAGCACCCGAGTATAATGTGAAACCACCTCTAGCCTGCTAGCGGATTCAGTATTTTGGAAAAAAAATAATTGAATATTATGCGCAGAAAATGATTACACTGTACCCCTTCAGCGAATTCCAGTAAACAAACGGGTGAAGAGAAACAAAGTCAGTACAAAATTGAAATTAGAGATAAAAAAAATTAACAGACATGTTGATTTACCATTTAAATTGTATTTTTTGTTCTGCTAGGCATTCTTTTACATCCAGGGATTAAGATTACCTTGTGTATTTTCTCATAAACTAAGCCAGAATCAGCAATCAGCTGTACACACGTTTTCTTGGAATCTACCGGTGATTCAGTCAAGACACACCCAATGATATAACTTTAAGGATTTTAATGCAAGGATTGGCAAAAATTGTATCTGAAACTATTTTTTTTATCAGGAATAATATATTCCAGTATCTTGTTATTTTAGTTGCAGCTTTTACTAAATATATTTAAAATAATTATAACCCTAAGCGAAGCAGCTGATCGCTATTGCCGGTTATTATTTTTCACATGGAACCAGTTTGACCAGTCACTGTCAACGCTCCCGCACACATGATCGCGAGAACTACGTGTTGACATAGAATCGTCAAACTATAACAAATATGACTTTTAACGAGTCAAAGTATGGCATTTATGATATATGTATCCATTCTCTGTCAACTAAAGTTCGTTTCAAGGCATCAATAGCAGTAATCTGACTGTGGTTGCTGTAAAAAGCGGTGAGTTGTGCGATCCTTCGATCGCTTCATTACACAGTAATGTCTTTCCGTTGGGGGTAAAAACATGAAAACTCATTATTGCATGTATAATGCGCACCCCCTTCTACACAGCTGTGTTTTTTGGAGAAAAAAAGTGTGCACTATACTCAAGAAAATATGGTACTCACTTATAGGAAATTCTGAAATACTACTTCCATTATCATAACACAAATCCCTTTCATCACGTGTCTATAGGAAGAGGATCAATCAAGACAGTGATAAAGAGACCACTATATTTGGTCTCATATTGTTAATTCAAGACTTTATTTTTTCAATTCACTGGAAAACTTTGCACACTTTCTTCCATTTCGGAGTCCTAATCTTTTAAACAACTGATGCAGCAAGATCCTAGATCCAAACATCGAGGACTGTATAGTCATGACAGACATCAGAATATATCCATGTTTGAGATCTGGAGACAATCAGCGGACTTGGTTGATGCAAATCATTGCATCTCAACTGTGAAGATGGAGGTTTGTGATGTCACTCAATGGATTGTCTGGTCCTGACTTGAATATTTACAGACTGCCATCATGTAGCTTGAATGTTGCTGAGTGTGTCACAAAACAACAAAACACACACATGAATAAAAATGAAAATAATAGACGAGAACTCACCTCCACTGCTTCCTTCATGTCAAACTGAGGCACAGGGGTCTTCATGGAGCTGGACACCTTTCTCTCGCTGTCCGCGTATGTCGAGGCATGAATGTCTGCATTCGCCACCTCCATCAGGTCGATGTCCTCAGTCATATACTCCTGTCATGATCAAAGGTACATATGTTTTGATGGTTTTTAGCATCAGCTTTGGTTACCAAGGAAACACCACACCACACATTAACCATTAGGACTGAATGGTAATACCCATCTTCCCAAGGCAAGGGAGTTAACTGACCAGTTGCTGTCAGTTGCTGACCCTTGCTGAACTAGGCTGGAATTATGGAGTTATATTTTGGCTGGACTAACAAGTTCATGCATAGGAAAATTGCGTTAACGAAATCGACATCCGGTTCGTAAACTGCCGTGTAGATTTTGGTCAATTGCAGGTTTTACAAAGCATGCGTACTGCCAAGACACATTTTATTCAAATATAGATTTTGATTGTCAATCAGATTGTCTTGACTGGGTGCCGCCATTTTGTTTGAAGCAAAATGCAAGTGTTATTTGAGGTGGAATCTGATTTGTCAATGGGATGGACATAGAAGGGACATAACTAGCCACAGGTGGCGCTACAATCAAGTCCTGAAATTCCAGCCTTGTTCAGAAAGGGTGTAAACTGGACTTTTACAGTCAGTAAAACTCCCTTGCCTCGGGAAGATGGGTATTATCGGTATACAGGTATACAGAAATACACTTTTTCAGACAATACATATTGCAATATATTTCTGTGTTCTGATACACTGGGTAACAATATGTAACAAGTTTTATTATCATTTGTATTGTTTAACCTAAAATCTACACACAAATTCATTCACAAAAGATGTTATAGGTCAAAATTGATTGACAAAACGTCAGAAATGTGGGATTGATTTTTCTCTCACATTGTTATCTCCCTTCTATGACAACAAAATGGCGGCAACTGACCATGCTTAGTAATGATTACTTTCATATGTAGAAGAAATACTCTCAAGTCAGGACCAGTGGTTTAACACCACACTCAGCAATATTCCAGCTATATGATGGCTACTTAAGAGTAAATACTGTCAAGTCAGGACCAGACAACCAGTGGTCGATATTGTGAGCAACAATCCACACCACCTGGGTCCAATGGAACGCTATCAACTAAGTCACCAAGCCTGACCATCCAACCCATCAAGTCACCATAAAAACAAGCATTGCTTGCTAGAGACCAATTCAAACCTAGACTGACCACAAGGGTTTTGGTTTTCTAGGTTTTGCAGACCCCCCCCCGCCAGCTGATAAGTAAACACAAGCATACCTGTTGTTTCTTCAGGGCATAATGTACAGCACTCTTCACCAGTAAGTCAGTAATGACTTCTTCTTGGGACTTCCTGTCTAGGCTTGCATAACTCACTTCCCGTTGTTCTCCATTGCGGGTGCGGATGACCTTAATAGAGGTCGGAGGTCGTGACCTCATCGACTCCCCTTCAAGTTCACGGTCTTGATACTGATCCACTGTTGGGAAAAGGTTATCGGTTAAATACTATTGATACAGTACTGCCAATCCATATTCATCCTCTGTCATCAAGGATATTCCATCTCTATTATGGAGAGCAGAAGGTCGGTGGTTCTATCCCTGGCTGCCTCACCCCAGAAGGCCTTAAATGATGGCACTTGTTGTTACCCTGCCAAGCGCTCGGTATTAAGGGGAAAGAACGAGGACTGGTTGGCTCGGAGCATCCATTTTTACCTGCTGCATGGTATTTCAGTGGGCTAGCACTACAAAACCAGCAATAGTCCGGGCTAGTACAAGTGGACACACCTGCAAACACACACACCTGCACACGCACACACCTGCACACACGGCACGCACGCACACACACACACACAAATGCTTGAACGTCTCTATGGAAGTGCAATAATCTTGAATGCCAAGTGAGACATCATTTCATCTCACCACCTCCCCATTCTTTTTAGGACACATACCTTGAACCCAGACACAACCATAGCTTCACTTCGGCAGTGTCATCGCCAACTAGCTATCACCAACTTACATAGCTCTCAATTATCAAATCCAATCAGTAGACCTCTTCTGAACAAAGATCTACAGTCAAAATCACAACCCCTGAACATATATTAATCGCATCATTTGTTTGTTTGTGTGTTGTTTAACGCCACACTCAGCAACATTCCAGCTAGATGGCAGAGGTCTGTAAATAATCGAGTCTGGACCAGACAATCCAGTGATTTAAATCATGAACATGGATAACTGAGGATGATGCACATTCTAAACAAGCACGAAAGACAAGTTTTTTTCTTATACTTACTCATATCTTCCAGTTCTGGCACAGCTCTGTAGAACGTATACCCTGACAGACTACCAGGAGATATCAGCATATTCCTCATGAGCCGATATGGAGGGGGGTAGTGTGACAGGTCCTCATGGAATATCCGGCGCTTTAGATGTGGAATCACAAAGTTATATTGGAAGAGGGATCGCTCTGTGATGTATCCTGGAAGAGTGAGTGAGTGAGTGAGTATAGTTTTACGCCGCTTTTAGCAATATTCCAGCAATATCACGGCGGGGGACACCAGAAATGGGCTTCACACATTGTACCCATGTCGGGAATCGAACCCGGGTCTTCGGCGTGATAAGCGAACGCTTTAACCACTAGGCTACCCGACCGCCCCGTATCCTGGAAGACAAATAAGCAGGAGCTTGATCAGCGTCATGTGGCATGTGGTGTCCAAATCTGATTTTTTTTCATTCAGTTCCAGACCCGTAGTCCTTGACCCTGACAGATGTGGGTCTATGGTCCTTAATCCAGACTGAGATAGGCCTACAATCCTTATCCTGGACCTATGTAACTTATAGTTCTTCTCCTTGACAGATGCAGGACTACAATGTTTATCCAAAACACAGCAGGCCTATAGTCCTTACCCCAGACCCAGACTCCAAGTTCTTATCGTAGACTGATATAGGGCAATAATCCTTATCCTTGGAAGGCATATAGTCCTTATTCCTCATCCTAGTCTCAACTATTATAGACGTATAGTCCTTATCCTAGACTGATATTCAACTACAATCTTTTACCGATATAGATTGATAATCCTTACCCCACATCCCAACGTACCTATATTCCTTATCATTGACCAAAATAGACCTATAATTATTATCCTAGAGACCGCCCCCGTGGTCTAGTGGTAGAGCGTCCGCCTGGAGAGCTGAAGGTCCGGGCTTCAATCTCTGGCCGTGTCATACCAAAAGACGTTAAAAGATGGTACTTGTTGTAACCCTGTCTGGCGCTTGGCATTAAGGGGCTAAACAACTAACAATGTTATGTTCATTGTCCCGACTGTATAAGTATTGCCTGTCTAACAAATTATATAAAATCTCACCTTTATTAATCACAGTCTCTAACACACTGTCGTCCCAGCTTTTGGTCCATGTTGCTAGGTAACGCTTTGCTGAGAATCCTGGTCGAATTTGTCGGTAATGTTTCTCTCGCTTCCGATGTAAAAACTTCAAGTACACACTGTTATTGTCCTGGAAAAAGGAAGACAAGAAATCTGACATCAGTAATTCAGTAACACGTGCTTCAAATTACTTGTAACAAAACTGCTTCAATCAGGGGAAAACAGACCAGATATCATGGCGGTACCATTCCCACTGAAATTGTCCTGATTAACAAATTTCCTGACTAAGGAATCAAGGGTATGGGATAAATACTTTGGTTGTATAGCGAGTGAGTGAGTTCGGTTTTACGCCACTTTTAGCAATATTGCAGCAATATCATGGCAGGGGACACCAGAAATAGCTTTAACACATTGTACCCCTGTCGTTAATCAAACCCAGGTCTTCTGCATGAGGAGCTAACACTTTAACCACTTGGCTACCTGGCCGCCCCTTGTTGTATAGACATACCCATCAAGATCATGACTGGGGGACAACGTTTAGTTTTGGCTCCAAACAAAGCAACTCATCAATGGGCCCAGGGTATTTATGAAAACAGTGAATGAGTGAGTAAGTTTGGGTTAACGCCACTTTTAACAGTATTCCAGTTATATCATGACATGTCAGCTTAATGTGGCAGGAAAGCCCGAAGTGATGCTGGTCTCAAACGTTTAAACCCACCAACACAGTATGGTGTTGACAAACATAGAAACATAGTCGGGTTAATGCTGCTTTTAAAAGTATTCCAGTTGTATCATGGCGTGTCAGCTTAATGTGGGAGGAAAGCCCGAAGTGATTTCAGGTCTCAGACGTTTACCACTTCGGTGAAACCCACGAGCAAAGGTGTCGTGCTGACAAACCTAGGAACATAATCAGGGCGAACCAGGATTCGAACCCACAATCATAGGTTTCTGGCCTGCCCAAGGGACGCAACTCTGAACAGCGAATTGCAGCGCCTTAGACGACTGGGCCACCCGTGCCACCTTATGAAAACATAATGGAGATATATTACCCCGGAAAACTTAGGATGTATAACGTTTGTTAATAACTTTGGGACAGATGAAAAGTCCAATGTAGCAAATGTTTCTGTGGGAAAACTGACAAACTTTTTGAACAGCCATATTGATGGTGATTCATCGCATGAGAACGAGAGGTGTGATGTCATCAAATTTGCCAACTTGACATTGAGCATGTCCAACCAGTCAACAATGGGTTCATGTCAGAACAGTCCAGCGTCATTCACAACTTTGGTGCCCGTGAAATGATGAAATTGAAGAGTATGATTATGAAAAGAAAAATGTATACATTGTCGTTTGCAAAACATTTATACTTAGTGATAGGTTCCGAAGTTTCAATTACTACATGAGTGTTTATGCCGACCTGCAAGCATTAGATGTTGAGAACAGTGCACCAAAACACGGTTTCTTATTCATTGAAACCCTACAAAATTACTAAACCAAACAGGAGTGGGAAAAACAGGTGACGTCACTCGAGTGCCGCGAAAGTTTACAGACGAGGCAATAGAGGTCATGCCTTTTATAGAGGATTATTGTCTTCAGGACTATAAATGAATCACTGTACCAGTGTGAACACGAATTTCAGTTTTGATTCACTGATCCCTAAAAATATCAGAAATGTCGCCTTACTGTTGGAAAATACTGTATGCAAAGATGTTAAAAATGATATAAAAACGTTGCCCCTTGTTGATTGAAAGCTTCTTTTTTTAAACTACCAAAATCACTCTTAGCATGGTTGCCATTGGTTATCTCTGTGATGTCATTATCTTGTCAACTGACCTGCCATTTTAACATGATGTCAAGTATGCATTATGAATCTCGCTTCTTCACGACAGCGTATATGAAGTTAGTGATATGTCAAGGTATCAAAGAAGACATAAAAAAATCCAAATCAAAACATCAGTGACCATGGTGACTATCGTGTATTTTATTATTGGCTGAATCTGTGTGCTATTTTTAGAACCGGGATTTACAATAGAAAGTTGACAACAGTTGACATGACAACTTTAGAAACAGAGTGACTTTGTGTTTACATCAATTTACAGGCTATGACATGCATTTTTCAAAGGAAATTTCTACAGGGACACAGGGACCATCAACCCTAAAATTTACTTCCATGTCAAATTTTACCAGTCAATATCCAGTATTTATAAAACTCCAGTGATGTCATCCTATTGTTCTCCAGTCGGGTTATATCTCAAACAGGGATGTTATAATATCCCCTGAATTTTACATATAATCCCCGGTATTTTATGTAATATGCCGGAGATTTGATAAATACAACTTCCGTTTAGATTGGAACATATGAATGTTTCTCGCTTGAAATTTATTTTGCATTTGAACGCAATGTGATGAAATGTGAAATCAAATGACAAATGTTTTCTTTATATTCCTGAAGATCGAACATGCAACCTTTGTATATCTGTAGATAAGTGAGAGTACCACTTGGCCACACAGGCAGTGATAAATCACAATGCTTTTAAGAATGTCTTTTCAAGTACCGTACAGTAGCAGATATTTTACGTTCATGGAAAGGTTAGGTTAGGTTCATGGAAAGTATGTTTGAAACATAAAAATTTTGATAAATGTTGTTTTAAATTTCTTTTTTCAGTTTATAAGTTAGATAAAACACTTACCCTCAGGTTTTTCAGACTCGGGTTTTAAATATCATGAAAACCCTCAGACACAGGTTTTAAATATCATGAAAACCCTCAGACACAGGTTTTAAATATCACAAAAACCCTCAGACACAGGTTTTAAATATCATAAAAACCCTCAGACACAGGTTTTAAATATCATAAAAACCCTCAGACACAGGTTTTAAATATCACAAAAACCCTCAGACACAGGTTTTAAATATCACGAAAACCCTCAGACACAGGTTTTAAATATCATAAAAACCCTCAGACACAGGTTTTAAATATCACAAAAACCCTCAGACACAGGTTTTAAATATCATGAAAACCCTCAGACACGGGTTTAAAATATCATAAAAACCCTCAGACACAGGTTTTAAATATCATAAAAACCCTCAGACACAGGTTTTAAATATCACAAAAACCCTCAGACACAGGTTTTAAATATCATAAAAACCCTCAGACACAGGTTTTAAATATCACAAAAACCCTCAGACACAGGTTTTAAATATCATGAAAACCCTCAGACACGGGTTTTAAATATCACAAAAACCCTCAGACACAGGTTTTAAATATCACAAAAACCCTCAGACACAGGTTTTAAATATCATGAAAACCCTCAGACACAGGTTTTAAATATCATAAAAACCCTCAGACACAGGTTTTAAATATCACAAAAACCCTCAGACACAGGTTTTAAATATCATGAAAACCCTCAGACACGGGTTTAAAATATCATAAAAACCCTCAGACACAGGTTTTAAATATCACAAAAACCCTCAGACACAGGTTTTAAATATCATGAAAACCCTCAGACACGGGTTTAAAATATCATAAAAACCCTCAGACACAGGTTTTAAATATCATAAAAACCCTCAGACACAGGTTTTAAATATCACAAAAACCCTCAGACACAGGTTTTAAATATCATGAAAACCCTCAGACACAGGTTTTAAATATCATAAAAACCCTCAGACACAGGTTTTAAATATCACAAAAACCCTCAGACACAGGTTTTAAATATCATGAAAACCCTCAGACACAGGTTTTAAATATCACAAAAACCCTCAGACACAGGTTTTAAATATCATAAAAACCCTCAGACACAGGTTTTAAATATCACAAAAACCCTCAGACACAGGTTTTAAATATCATAAAAACCCTCAGACACAGGTTTTAAATATCACAAAAACCCTCAGACACAGGTTTTAAATATCATGAAAACCCTCAGACATGCTTTATCCTCCATATATACCAGGGAACAGAAACACTAAATGAGAGGCCCCAGGTCTTCTTGATCTCAGCCACCATTGTCATCACCATTTTGAGCCATTGAGTATTTCCCCAAGTTATCACTGGGTAATGACAGCTTTCTTGGGGATCTGTTTTACTTCCTTGGGTATTTTAAACCATTAATAACTATTTATAAAAAACGTCTGCATAAACTGCTGCTTCAGGTGACAATCTGAGCAATATTAACTGCAGTAGAGTTCATGTATCTGGGACTCTGATACCGGTATATATTAGTAAACAACAGATCTATTTTTGTTTGTTCTTTGCTTGTTTGTTGTTTAACTCCGCACTCAGCAATATTCCATCTATATGACGGCGGTCTGTATATAACTGAGTCTGGACCAGACAATCCAGTGAATGACATCACGAGAGCATCGATCCACGCAAATAGAATCGATGACCCTTTGGAAGTTAAGTGTGCCAACTGTGTTCAACATATCCCATGTGTTTTCCAGTTTACTTCTTCATCTGTGTGCCAGTGTAACAGCATACTGTAATCGTATCACAATTGGGATACGATGACATGCATCAACCAAGTCAGCGACCCTGGCACCCAATCCCATTAGTCGCGTAAAGAAACATTGGGTAATAACAGAATGTGTTGGTTTTTTTTCCTATATTATATATTGTAAGTCATAATTAATTTTGTAATGGAGAGTTATTTATGCAGTCTGTGACCACAAACAAAATGTTGGCGTATGTTCTACCCAATCTCCAACACAGTCACTGGAAAACACACACAACATAGAATTATAATCACAAAGTAATGAGATCCAAATACTCACATGATTACCGTAAGACAAAATACTCTTTGCTAAATCGTCCACTGTTCGTAAATCCAGAGCTCCGTCTGTACTCTTCGACACAGGTTTCGTCTGTTGTTGTTCTGTTTGATCCCTCTCGCTGTCACGTAACGCAAGATCTTCGGAAAACAACAACAGGGCTCCTTTCCTGGTCGTGAAAGTTTTCGGAAGATGGATTTCTTGGTGATCACGTGACTCTCGGGAGGACAGATCGGGCATGTCTTGCAGCATGGTGTACTTGTGCTTGATTGGTGGGAAGTAGTAGCGATGTGGCACATCGCGGAAGTTGTAGTAGTCCTGGAAGCAGAGGGCGTCATGTTACGGGAAAGTAAGACAATACGAGTAATGTGTCATTAGTGAGGTTTACACAATTATACAAGCTGATTGTGCTTGTTCACCAAGTCATAGGGTTCACACAAACATTCAGCTCCTAAAATCCAAATACCCTACTAATGTTTGTTTGTTTGTTGTTTACCGCCCCACTCAGCAATATTCCAGCTATATGACAGGAGTCTGCAAGTAGTCAGGTCTGGACCAGACAATCCAATGATTGACATCATGAGCATCAATCTACGCAATTGAGATACAATGATAGCATCAACCAAGTCAGCGTGCCTGACCACCCAATCCCTTTAGTCGCCTCTTATGATAAGCATTGTCGCCTTTTATGGCAAGAAAGGGTTGCTGAAGACCTATTCTACCCCAGATCTTCACAGGTGCCCTGCAAATGTATCATTACGAGAAATATGTATACAATTTAGATCCATCTTGTGACTACAATCTAATGTTAAGTGTGGAACTCGAAAAGGGAACAGTTTCAACTGTGATGTAACAAGCAAGTGACATCATAACAAACATTATGATGTCATGATGTCCATACAGCCCAGCCAATCAGATTGCTAGATTCTTTAACAAGTAATGATAATACTTTTTACACAATTGCATTTTTATCACCTCCTGGACTGTTTAGGATAATGTGCTTGTACATATTTTGTATTCATTCCAGGTCACAGTGGGCTCAACTTTGGTGATCAAACCGAACATTCAGTTCTTCTGCAATTTTATTCATAGAAAATCTCATAATGTATATAGTCTCAAAAAGCACCAGGTATTCACATATACAAAATCTTTATCAAGTTTATGATCATTTAGGTGAGGTGGTGAAATGGGGTTAAATGTTGCGTACTTGTGTAGCGATGTGCATGCACATGTGTTTGTGTGTGCATCTGCTTGTACTAGTCTGGATTTTATAGTGCTTGCTCACTGGGATACCATGCTGCAGTTTAACTTGAATACCCCACTCAGACACTGTATAGTGACTCCGAGCTGACCAGTCCTTGTTTTAGTCCCTTAATGCCGAGCCAGGCAGGGTAACAACAAGTACCATCTTTTAATGTCTTTGGTATAATGCGGCCAGGGATTGAACCCCGGACCTTCCGCTCTCTCCATAACCATATTATGGAGAGAGTATAATCAGGTGTCTTTTGTTATTTAACTTATATTACAAACGTTTTTCAATAATTTTACAAATTGTAAAGCAGGTCAGTGTAATAGCAGAAACTTCTGACTTTTCAGAAGGCCAGACATATTTTCTATTTTTTGGGTTTATGGATTTATGGCATTAAAATTCCGTTCAGAAGGTAAAAAAAATATAAATTTAAATAAACCCAAACTTTTTTATTTCCTCAAATTATTAAGTAGGTACTGTAGAAGGAAAAAAAGAAACAAAAAAGTGGGGGCAAGAGGAATAGGAATTTGTCATAATTCTTTGTGTGTTGAAGTATTTAAGATACATTTTTATCAGGTTTTAATTATAGTACTTTAAACAATTTATTTATTTTGAAAGCAAGAGTAAATTAATTTTTCTTAAACTTTTAACATATGTCTGCTCAGCAGAATAAAAAAACCAATGCTTTTAACTTTTGGAGGTTTTTTTTAGGCCCCTTCACACAAAGAGATCCCTGCTGCAGATATGCACTGTCCTAGAAGCCTTTGAACATCACGTCTACTCGCCCAAGACTACTAAATAGTGCTGAGGAAAAGTAAAAATCCAATGAAAAGTCTTCATTGACTGGAAGCACTGAGGGTTATAATTCAAGACCAGTTCTCAATGCTTCAATTTTGCTACAAATCGGAGCTGAATAAATGTAAACATAGCAAACAGTCTTGTCTTGTTCAAGTAGAACTAGCTACAAACTCTTGAGGGCCAGTGAAATAACGTTTACACTAGCACCCTGGACTACTTTCTAAAATAACACATTTCTAAGGCTGTTTAGTATGCAGCAATACCTCCACTACCATTTCTTCCCGAACTGAAAACGACTTTCAACAGGGATCGAATTAACACAGATAAACATATTCTGAAAATCATTCAAGATGGGGAAATGTGTATCGTGGTGATCCGGGGTAGAATTGGTCTTCAGCAACCTATGGTTGTCTTTAAAGGCAACAAACAGGATCAGGTGGTCAGGCTCGCTGACTTGGTTGATGCACGTCATCATATCCCAATTTCATACAACGATGCTCATGATATCAATCACTGGATTGTCTGGTCCAGACTCAATTAAATGCAGACCGCCGTCATATAGCTGGAATATTGCTGCGTGTGGCATTAAAAACAAACAAGGTAAACGTGTACATGGTATTGTGACCTCAAATAAACTTTGTCCAAATAATATTCTGTTTTAATCTAAGGTTTTCTTAAGATCCCCCTGAATCTGATAGGTGATAGATAAAGGGAATCATCGTCATGACAACCAATGACCCCCAAATCCTCACACTTGACATGCTTGATAAAGATAAATTTCAATCCTCAAGCTGTCTTCTTGAAAACTTCATTTATCATAAAGCTGCTGAAGTCATGATCTCAGTCGAACGCAATCGTAACTTTGTCACTGTGCAATAACTGATTAACCAGCTCGGTCCGCAAAAGCATGATAACATGCGATACAGCAATCAGCCAGGCTCGCATATTTCCAGGCTACAAATATTCCTCTTCCCACGAAGTAATTATCGTAAAGGAAGAAAAGAATTAATCATGCTTATAATTAGTCTTAGCCTTGCCTTATATTGTCTCTTGTTACCAGTTCTGTCGTAATCTTAGCGTTTGTGGTGTTTTATAGCCACCGTGTTCTATATTACACCGTTATAATTACTGGGTCATTTACCCATAGAAGCAAGGTCCCATTGTGCCTGCCTTAAGCTTTGTGTGATATATCTAGTTATAAAGGCTTGGATATAATGAGACTGATTGTTGGTCTGATAACACAACCAATATGTCTGACATCTTTATTCAAGTATTAAGATTCTAATCAGAGGAATTTCAGTTTTGCAGTTTACATTCATAATATAAGTCAGTATGTGGGTGGGGTTTTATACCTGTCAGCTTTACTTAATCGATAACATTTGCTGTAGAAAAGACCTGTAGATAAAAATCTACATAAAAATAACTTGTAAATAATAATGTTTGTTTGTTTGTTTGTTTGTTTGTTTGTTGCTTAACGCCGCACTCACCAATATTGCAGCTATATGACGCCGGTCTGTAAATAATCGAGTCTGGACCAGACAATACCATTTCTCCAACAGCCATCCAAAAGTGACAAATTTTGTGCAGAAAAACCCTAGTAAATCTAAATCTAAACCCTGAGGTTCAAGGTATAGTTACCATGTTGGGTATCGAACATGTGTTTTCAGCATAATCAGCGAACACATTAACCAGTTAACAACCCCACCACCACCAGAAGACATTTGGTAAATCTTTTTGTGATTATAAACACAGAAGGCATAAGTGTTTGATACCAGGAATAATGCCAAGAAGACTAAACTCAGTGATAGGCCGTCTCCTTGTCATGCAGAATCATATAAAAAGTCGGGTGTATCTTTCATGCCAGACCAGCAAAGATCCGGGGTAGAATAGGTCTTCAGCACCCCAAGCTGGCCGTAAAAGATGACTATGCTTGTCGTAAGAGGCAACTAACGGGATCGGGTGGTCAGGCTCGCTGACTTGGTTGATGCATGTCATCTGTCCCAATTGCATCGATCGATGCTCATGATGTCAATCACTGGATTGTCTGGTTCAGACTCGATTATTTACAGAATGCTGTCATATAACTGTGTTCAACATATCCCATGTGTTTTCCAGTTTACTTCTTCATCTGTTTGCCAGTGTAACAGTTTACTGACTGATGGTTCCCATTTCTTATTAAAACAAATCTGGTATACATATTTCGTAAAATAGATAAGATGGTTTCTATCTTGCAAATCAATGCCACTGTATCTATATGCAACTGATGGACTTGTTCCTTAAATATTTGCTATGTGGATTTGTTTCTCAGCTAATAGTACAATATGAGTATTAAGCCGATTATTATCTTGGAAACCAAAGGATACAGAATGTGTATTAAAGCATATTTTGTTTTGAAGTTTGTTAGTTTGTGTGTTGTTTAACGCTGCACTCAGCAATATTACAGCTTTTTGACAGCGGTCTGTAAATAACTGACTCTGGACTAGACGATCCAGTGATTGACATCATGCGCATCAATCTACACAATGGGGATATAATGACATGTGTCAACCAAGCCAGCGAGCCTGATCACCCGATCCCATTAGCCGCCTCTTACAATCATAGTAAATGGTTTAGTTGGTTTTCTAACTTATTCCCAAAGTCTTTGGTAGCTTCACATCCTAAATAACATGTGTTAAATTTTCTTTAGACGTGTTACAGGAAGAACAAAGTTCATAATCTCCTAGTTTCACCCTTTATCATTCCATTTTTACATAAATTCCACGAGCTTTGCACCACTACCACATTTCCTACACTGAATAAATACTTTCTCTATTTTTGGAAGAATGCTATAAGGAAAGACTACCCTTTTTCTCATTAGAATCAGATGTTAGATGTCGCTACCGATCTGAGGACATCCCACTACATGTTACGTCAGAATGACCTTTCATGAGTTTTGACCAACCAAAATGACTAACAAGAATTTGACTTTAGCCAATCATAAAGATCTCTTGAGCTATACAGCACTAGCTTCAAACTGGCAACTTCCATTCCAGACTACACTTTGATAATATTTTGACAAAATTCTTGATTCAAAATTTGAAAACTGAACAACAGAACATTTTGGAATGTCTAGTAGATCGCCTAGATTGTATGGCAGTACTTCCTACATGCTAAGCAAAGTCTCTTCCATTCCAAAGTTTATGCCACTGAAGTGAGAGACAGACAATGATTTTGACCCCTTCAGTCATTCACCCTGTAACTCTCTTTCAGAATACTCTGCATTAACCTTTTTTAGGGTGTATGATTAGAAAACATATTCTGACTGTCACTTTCCTGATCTGGTAAGTGATGCTCTGATTGGTCGGATGACATGTGGTTCTGATGTGAACCATAATGGGCTGTCCTCAGATCTTTGTTTAGGTTGGACAACCTGTAAAATATATACATGTTGTCCACTTTGTTTATCTGTTGTTTAATGCCGCTCTCAGCAATATTCAAGCTATATGATGGTGGTCTATAAGTAATCGAGTCTGGACCAGACAATCCAGTGATTGACATCATGAGCATCAATCTACGCAAGTGGGATATGATGACAAACATCAACCAAGTCAGAGAGCCTGAAACTCCATTCCCGTTATTCATTGCTTACAACAAGAATAGTCATCTTTTTATGGCAATGAATGGGTTACTGAAGACCTATTCTATCTCAGATCTTCACAGGTCGTTTGCGTTCAGCGTATTTCTCACTCGCTACACCTAATAAACATCATCACAAGGTACTGTTATTTAATAAAAGATGTTTCTAAGTGTCCCTAAAGTACTGGGAACCCATTTTAACTATGCCCTGGTCACTTTAATTGAAAGAATTTTGAAGCTTCAAAAATAATCTCTTAACATGCTAAATAATGTAGAACAACAAACAAACAAAATATCATCAATAGTGTTCATAATTTCATTCTCTTATGTAGCTACACAGCCAGAAAGGTGAAGTCAGAGCGAAGTGATTAACTTGTAATGAAAATGTCACATCACCCGAGCCCAACATATCCAGGTTTCGATTGTATTGATTTATCAACAATGATAAAAACATCAGTAATTCCAATGATAATTGAGTCTGTTATTACATCGTGACTAAAAACTCTTCCTGTATTGATTGTCTTATTGTGAGCAGCCTGGGTGTATGCCACACATAAATATATCATGAATAACAGGACTACCATCTTTCAGGGTTGCTCCCCTGAGATCTGCCTATTGCCATCACCATGGGACTATTCTCAGGTTTACTTTATTCCAGATTTACTGAATCTTAAATCATATTTTTTTCCCTTATAACTTTCTTTCAAAATATATTCAAAATATCAAAATGTTCAATTCTTATAACAAGATTCACTTTGATTGTTTTCTTGTTGTTTAATGCCACACATAAATATTCCACATATTTTACGATAGCCTTTAAATAACTGAAGACTTTGAATTGTAGTAGTATACATGTATGTTAAATTTACAATACTGTCAGTTCAGAAATCTGATTTTTGTGCAGCGGGCTTCATAGCTGGGATGTAGAATCTTTTAGACACTTTGTTCATTGTTGATCATAAGCACATCCTATACTTACTGATGCATGATACTGGTAGGTATTCATTAGGGGTCTTATATGCCATAATTCATCAGGGTAAAACAATTTTTAATGATAATAGATAAAATATAAATAGTGACAAAAAGTCAATGCACTGATTTGTACCATTAAATTATTTCTTAATGAAAGACAAGAGTATGCATTATTTGAGAATTGTGGGAAGCTAATGTTTTAAATTACATGTATTTTAGTTTGATAATAAATGTTTCATAATAAGAACCATTTTCTTGATAAATGATGTTCAATTATTTTGTCATTATAATATAGAAATTTAGTCTGATAACCTTGATAACAAATCTAAACAAGTTTCTCACCAGTAAACAATTTTATTTAACAATATAAAATATAAATTCTAAGACAATTAAATTAAAACTGGATGTACATCATTATGCAAATAATATACTTTATTATAAAGGTTGTATTATATAATAAGTACATTATTACAATTATTATATTGTTATTGTTGTACTTTTCCATGGTCGTAAATATATATAAGTTAGTCTAGTTATAATTACCTCTGGTTCCAGGAATACTTCAACTTTTTCGTGCCCATTCGTTTGAACCTCGCCAACTCCCCGGCTGAGAAGAGAGAGGTTGAGAGCACCGCCGCCAGCCATTGTTAATTTTTCTATCACAGAAAGTGTTTCCTCAGTTAAAACACTCAGCCGATGATAAACACCGACGATGCATTATTAAATTGTCTCCCGCAGTCGCACGCTCCGATTCAAAAGTGTGCTTTCTCCGTGTCTACGCCGACTTCTTTCTTAGCATTGACAGTGACGTTGTTATCAATTATTAACTACAAATAATGATTATCTTTCCATACATGCAAACTTTTCGTCCAGACAAACTAGGGCCATGGCCGCCATATTGTTTATACGTTGCTGGGTGTATGTGACGTCACAACAGGTGCTCGTTGTATGTCATGGGGGAGAAAGGATGTTAAAACTGTCGAATAAAATCAAATAATACAATATCAAGCAAAGAAATATGCCACAGGTTTCATATAATATAAATATAAATGCACCCGTCTGTGTAACTGAAACAGTTACAAGTTGTAAGCAACATAAATGACACGAGGTGTGATTCCAACACGCCCTGCTGAAAATGGATTCATCCACTGATCCAATCTCGACCTAGGGGAGCCGTATCAAAACATCAATCGACCTATTTTTCGATATCATTTCGCCAAAGTTATACTTTACAATATAATCTTGAATAAAGAATAAACAAAAAATATAATTATTTTAAAGTTTTTCGTTAGTTCTGTATAAATTAATTTATTAAACATACACCACAATGGAATTATCAGTTTATCATTTAGCCTTGCTTGTATCCGTCAACTGTAAAGATTGATAATATAAACCTGTGTCTGAATTGAAGTAATACCCAAGTGTGTCGAGGTGTGTCCACTCGACAGTGGACTTGCACGGCACTGAATCGAGCCACTTGACCTGCATGCAGCGATACAGTTCAATGTATAAGCCGTATATTAATATAAGAAGATAAACAGACCCGACAAGGCTATAGACGAAGCGTAATGACATTAGGCTAAGCACGGTTGGAACATGTCACTCGCGACTTACGGTTATATAAAAATAATTGGGGACTGGGCTAACATGATATTTAAAAATATATGTTCTGTTGAGGGCAAATAGGTGTCCATACATTTGTTAATATACAAACGACTTACGTCGAGGTCAAAGAATATATTGTGTTACAGCTTATATGTTCGTTTGTTTGTTTAACGCCGCACTCAGCAATATTCCAGTTATATGACGGTGGTCTGTAAATAAACGAGTCTGGACCAGAAAATCCAGTGATTGACATCATGAGCATCGATTCACGCATGGGATACGAAGACTTGCATCAACCAATTTATAACAGTGTTTAAAAGCGTATGGTCAGCTATATACCCAATATATCACGGCGGTATTGAGTCTGGGCCTCAAACCTGTGACTCAAGTATGTACAACGATCCACGCAATCAAGCAACGCTAGCACGCACTCGCCTAGACTAACATTTAGTCTCTGAAATCTTATATTACACAATATCCTTCTTGACTCTAAAAATAAAAAAGAATTCCCTATGCTGATATCAGAATATTTTTGGAATAGAGCTAGCTTGAGCTGGCTAGACTTGCTTTTGTATGCATTTCTAGATGTTTATGGATTTATGTGGGTTTTTTCATAAAATTAATATATTCCACGGTCATGGTGCAGGACTAGCACTCGCCAAATCACCGAGCTTGACCTCACCGTCTCCATTCTGAGTGAGTGAGTGAGATTTTACGCCGCTTTTAGCAATATTCCAGCAATATCACGTCGGGGGACACCAGAAATGGGCTTCAAACATTGTACCCATGTGAGGAATCGAACCCGGGTCTTCATCGTGACGAGCGAATGCTTTAACCACTGGGCTACCCGACCGCCCCTCCACTCAAAGTAGCTCATCTGCATGTTGTGTTCATTAAGTGAATGGATGCGTTTCACATATTTTACCATATTTTTTAAAGAATCAAACCGAGTATTGGGCGTGACGCTATTGCGTTATGCTTTGTGGGTAGTGAGTGAGTATGGTTTTACGCCGCCTTTAGCAAACTTCCTGCAATATCACCCCTGGGGACACCAGAAATGGGTTTTACACAAACCGGGCCTTCGGCGTCATGAGCGAACGCTTTAACCACTACACAACACCACCACTCCGCTGTGGGTAACAGCGGCCGGTTAGCCTTGCGGTTACACAAGTTGGCTCTTCACAAAGAAACTTATTAGTTGTTTATCCTGGCGAGGATGGTTATAACAGATGTGCAAAAACAAACTCACTTACAGAAACCTCCCAGTAAAAGAAAACTAGTCAGAACAAGATAAACTGGACTAAAATTTAGTCCCAGAAATAAAGTTATCTTATTTATAAATACATATCTACAAATAAAAAAATATAATCCAAATGGAGCCCAGAATATTGCTTAATTTCAGCTTAGGCAATCTAGACTTGCCAAATTATTCACTGTTAAAATTTATTCTCTAAGGCCTGGGAGACAGACTAAAGATAAACCAGCAGCTGACAGTGTTACACAACAAACAAACAAACAAACAAACAAACAAACAAACACCGGAGTTCACCCAGTCAGCAAGTTTACACAATTCTGTGGTTTACTAGGTCTCAAATTAATTACTTGTTCTATGGGTGTGTTTTTTAACAGGACCAGGTATATATGTCATGAAAGAATTTACAGTACGTTGATTTATCATGACTGTCGATACTTGATGCGTTCAAGAAGGGTAAGATTCTTCAATGAATTGTAACCGTGATACAGCTGGAATAGTGTTGACTGCGGCGTAAAACAAGTTTAAACACACTTTTAAATGTCGTTAAAATATTTTGATTTGCTCCCCAGACAGAAGCCCGGATGTTGCTATGACCTTAGCACGCAGCGCGATGTCGCCTCAGTCGGACTGTCGGCTCGCAAGAGGGCGGTGAAAAATAGAAAAGGGGCTTTCTTGACTGACGTTAAACCGAATATTTTCTCAGTTTGACTGAAACCGTCATGATGTAGCTCATTTTTCGGCTTAGGAGTAGACATATTGAAATATTATACCTCAGATAAGCTGTTTGATTCTATATAAACAGCTGATTAATCGAGATTTGAGACCACGACATCGTGAGCGAAACCGGAAGATCGCTCGGTTTGACTCGAGTCGAAGATCAGATGAACTGAGTAGACACAATCTTTCGTAATATGTCGTTCAGTTGACATGATGAGGTTTATAGGAATTAGCTACCTCCGTAGTTGATGCAGTTGTAAACGAAGTCGAACTAACATTTGAGTTCGAGGCCATTTTACTCTGTTAGCATTTGACAATTGAATCTTTAAACATGGCCGATATCCAGTACGTTAACATAAAAGACATTCGCCCGGGGCTGAAGAATATCAACGTGATGTTTATTGTGCTCGAGATGGGTAGGTATCGCTCGGTACGAGCGGAATAACTAATCGATGATTGTTTGCAGAAGGCAGGAGGTGAACCATCCATTTTTGACGATAGACTCGACTGGTACAAATGTCAGGCGAGTCTAATGAGCAGAATCGGGGGTGAAAGGTTATACTATACGGCTGCTATGTACTCCGGTCGTCAGTTCATCTTGGCTCTGAGCCAGAATATCTGGAAATCTCCGTGAAAAGCTGCTGAGGGAGAAATGATATACAAATTACGTTACTTTAATTTTCGTGCCTCAGAAGTTCATTTTTAGGAAGTGTTTGTGTAAATCTTTATATGTAAAGATAAAAACACACCATTTTTTTAACTTTTAGAAGGTAAAAAATATTTTAAAAGTCAAATCTTAAGTCTGATGAACACTGTACAAGTTCTAACCAAGCTTATTACATATTTGACATTGTATTTTATAACGTCTTTTTGATATTAAGAAAATGGGGCGTTATTTTTTAAATGTAAATAATTGAAATTTTACCTTTTTCAGGTAAACCAACAAGGACGAAGGATGGTCATGATGTAAGATCGTGTAAAGTAGCAGACAAAAGTGGCTCCATCAATGTGTCTATCTGGGATGAGGCCGGCGACCTTCTCCAGTCCGGTGATATATGCAGATTAACTAAAGGGTACACACTCTCGTCAGTGAGGAGATAAACACATGTTTTCAGATTTGCGGGTGTTAATGAATATTCAATGCCCTGAGATTAAATTTAGAGGTGTTAAATGTTTAAATTTCTGGGCAATGAATACTCCAAAAATCTGCAAATCTTAAAACATAATGCTTATGGACATTGTAAAAACTCCATCTTCCTGAGGCAAGGGCGTTAACTAGGGCTGGGACGGGTAACTCGGGTACTCGGGTCGGGTGGGTACTGAGTAGGACCCGGGTACCCATAGAACTACCCGGACCAGTGGTTAGTCACGTGATATATTGTTGAATGACAAAAACTTACTATAGCTCAGGGGTAACACTACAAGTACAAGTCGCTAATGTTTGCATTTCTTTCTGACGATGCACACATTCCTTTTGACTTGTATATGTTTGACTAAAGATAAAGCTTCAGTGTACGCATGATCGGATTGTTTGATACATGTATCTAAATAGTTTTAGCCAGGGCTGCGGCAAAACAACTACCAATCAGAATTTTGTTCCCTACTCTTGAGACCTGCAGTGGGTACCTGGGTAGGGTCGGGTACCTGGGTAGTAAATTTGGATTCGTCCCAGTCCTAGCGTTAACTGAATATAGAAGTCCAGTTTCCACCCTTGCCAAACTTGGCTTGACTCACGAGTCAATGCATAGTCCAATCAACATGCCATAACAAACTTGACATCCGGTTCGTAAACAACATGGATTCCAACGTGCAGATATCGGTCGACTGTAGGATTTGCAAAGCATGTGTTCCGTCAACTGGGCATCAACAGATATTTTGCAAATCTTTTCATGATTTTAATCAAGGTGCTCAAGTTGTTTGATGCACTCCGCGGGACCGTTTTATTACAATATAGATCTTGATTATTGATCAGATCGTCTTGACTGGGATCTGCAATTTTGTTTGAAGCAAATGCAAGTGATATGAGATATGGAATCTGATTGGTCAATAGGAGGGACATAGAAGGGACATAACTCATAATAGCAACTGGTTACTCTATGATCAAGCCTGGGCATTCCAGCCTAGTTCGATAAGGAATTTATCTTACCAACATGTTTTAATATGACATTGTAAAATAATTAAAAATTCATAGCTGTTCAATTGAGCTGAGGTTAGCTTGTGCTGTCACGTGACTTCCATTGACTCCGAAAAAGTGTGAAGCTTTTTGCTTTGAAGTGGGATATAAGGGATTCTCAGAAGTCCACGTGCAGCCTGATTTGCCCATGGCGGGGTATAAGGGATTCATTCCCTCACTGAAAAATTTATTCCCCTCCAAGGCGGGTTATACAGTATTGTCTCAAGATCACATGGACCAATCAGATCTCATCATTCTGACATGGAGGTATGAAAAACCATTTTATCATGAATAAGTCCCGCCTGAGAAAGTTACTGCATGTGTATTTGTTACAGGTATGCATCTCTTTGGAAAGGATGTTTAACAGTTTACACCGGAAAAAATGGTATCATCGCAAAAATAGGAGAGTAAGTGCTGCTTTGACACAACTGATGGTAAACTTCATCCCAGAAATAACTTTTCTTCTTTTTATCTTGAGACCGCCTCCATGGTCTAGTGGATGGAGCGTATGCCCAGAGAGCCAAAGGTCGTGGGTTCTTACCAAAACACGTTAAGAGATGGTACTTGTTACCCTGCCTGGTGCTCAGCATTAAGGGGCTAAAACAAGGACAGTATAATGTGTCTGAGTGGGGTATTTATGTTAAACTGTGGTATCTCAGTGAGCTAGCACTGAAAAATCGGCATCAGTCCGGACTAGTACAAGAAGCTCCCTTCCACATACACACACACACGTGCATGCAAGTCGCTATATAAGTGGATTAATCTTGAACGTGATGTTAAACCCCATGTTGAAAACTTCTTTTACAATTCTGATTTTTGAGTTAAGTATTTACTGTTGATTTTATAAACTTAAAACACACTCAACTTATAATGACTGGAAAATGTTTTTGATGATGAATATAAGGATTATCACTTGATCATCTGTATCGATTATTAGATTTTTATCCAAATGTTTGAAAATGTGAGAAGGGAAGTGTTTTGGACATTGACTGTTGACTGATGTGCTTCTTATGAAGAATTTGCTTTGCCTGTAGGTACTTCAGGACAATAAGACCCGTGAAGACTTTTGTTACAATAGGCGACTAACGGGATCGGGTGGTCAGGCTTGCTGACTTGGTTGATGTATGTGGGGGTGGGGGGTTGGGTAGCCTAGTAGCTGAAGTGTTCACTCGTCACATGAAAGGCCGTCAATTGATTCCCATATGGGTACTATGTGTGAAGCCCATTTCTGGAATATTGCTGAAAGCTGCATAAAACCCAACTCACTCACTCACTTATATTTCAAAGTAAACCTTCCTCAAATATGCGTTACAGATGAGCTGGTTTTCTTTCAGGTTCTGTCTCCAGTTTTCAGAGCTTCCTAATATGAGTGAAGCAAATCCTGATTTCCTTGCCAAAAATGTAAGTATTTGTGGTACTATTCCATTTTTTGAAGAAAGGTGAACGAAAAAGTGAGTGGGAGTTTTGTAGGCTTGGTGAAAGAGAGTATTTGGAAAATATTTGATTCTGATTGGTCATTCAGAGGTTTGAATTCACAAAAACCACATCTGATTGTAACATCGATGCTTGGGTGTCACCCTGACTGTCGATTCACAGATTATTGTTCATGCTATCAACCACTTGTTCCTGGTTCAGTCATGTTTACTTTCAGCTAGCTGTGATATAGCTGGAATATTGCTGACAAAAACTCCCTTTTTAATGGGTAAATGTTACCAAGAAATATCACCTTATCTCTCAATATATGTGATAAGCTCTGAGTATTCATTATGATGCATGATGGGACGTATTGAAATATTTCAGGATCAGCCACCGCAACAACGAAAGTCCCCGACGGAGTCTGACGGGTCCCAGACAATGATGCCCTCCCAGACGCCAGGAAACCGGCCCCAAATGTCCGGTGGCCCGCCTCAAATGGGTGGTCAAGGTGAGTTCAGAGGTTCTCTGAATTAATTCTATTTTTGTTTGGGACCACCTCCGTGGTCTAGTGGTAGTGCACGGGGTTATACCAAAAGATGTTAAAAGATGTTACTTGTTCTTACCCTGCCTGGCACTCGGCATTAAGGGGCTAAAACAAGGACTGGTCGGCTTGGAGTCAGTATACTGTGTCTGAGTGGGGTATTCATGTTAAACTGCGGCATGGTATCTCAGTGGGCTATCACTATCGGCATCAGATAGTGCCAGTATATACAAGCAGCCACACACAAACGTGCAATTATCTTGGATGCGACGTTATAGCCCATTTCACCTCACCTACTTTTGTTTGTCACCCAATATGTTACGCCTGAGGCTGGTCCTTCATGGTGATTCTAGATCTGAATGGGTCCCCAGCAACCGATAATTGTTGTAAGAGGCAACCATATGGATCCAGGATTTGAAATTAACATAATGCCGTTAGTCTCACTAAAAATTCATCAAGGACTAGTGACATTTTGTTGTGGACTACCACTTTTACCATTTTTGTGGAATAGTAAAAATTAAAACTAATTTCAAACTCTGTGGATTCGATGGTCAGACTCGGTTGATTGTTATCATACCCTTACATCATAGGACTTTGCTTGTAATGTCAATCATTGGATTGTCTGGTCTAGACTTGATTATTTACAGGTTGCTGGTTTGCTTGATTATTCCAGTGTATTCCTGTTGCTGCTCTCCCTCAAAACTCGGCTCTGACCCACTGCCAGAGACCAGATATAGCTATATATACAGATGTCTCCCTTGATTCCATAGGATAATATTGATTCTTGCATTATAAACTATATTTCAGGTGGAAATGGTCAGTACCGTGGTCCCCGCCCCCAACATTCTGGCCCCAGGGGACCACCGCCGATCAATGGCAGAGGGAGGGGCATGAGGCGTTGATTCTCAAACTGGTGCTGGAGTTCTACAAGGTTGTCTCCCTTCAATGGTGCAATGGTTGTCTCCCTTCAATGGTGTGCCTGCTCTTCAAGAGCAATATAAGATCAACATAAAAAATGGTCAAAAATGATGGAAATGGTTTAAAAAAATGGAAAGTGTTGTACGTTATCGTTCTAAAATTTATGAATTCTGAAACGCTTAAAAATTAGGGGACAGAATTACTTGAAGCTAGGCCTGATGTCAAACTTGACCATCAGCATCTTTATGATAAACCCATCAGACCCATAATTGACTGTGTGATATAGTGCTGTTCTGGAGACACGTGTACATATTTCCCTGGGTATGTGAGCTGTGAAATGGATGTTTTGCTGGCTGCTTGTGGACGTTGGCTGCATTGGACATTTCCCCATTGTACAGATACATTGCTGCAGATGCATGTGTCTGTTCCATTTATGGGGACATCTCAAGTTCAGGATAATTGCATAACAACCATATTGCATGAATTTTTCATTACGTTTGTCCTGATCTGAAACCATAGAAAGACATTCCTCCGAGATGATTTGGGAAAAATTCTGTGAGAAAGTTTTATAAAAAGTCCAGGAAGATCCAGGTTTATGAAGACTACTGATATTCTACAAAGATTATTCAAATTCAAATTATTTAAATCCGAGTATAAGGTATAATTCTGGTTTGGTTTGTTTGTTTGTTGTTTTACGCCGCACTCAGCAATATTCCAGCTATATGACGTCGGTCTGTAAATAATCAAGTCTGGACCAGACAATACAGTTACTGACATCATGAGCATCTATCCATGCAATTGAGATCCAAGACATGCGAGCCTGACGTATAATTCTGGAGCACTGCACAGTGGTAAATGTGTTCTTTTGTCCAATAAAAGTAGGGGTTTGAATACTGGATACACTTGTAAATGGAATCATTCTGGGAAACATTTTCTATTGGTCAGTGTTTTACTGCAATAACAGTAACACTGAGTGAATGTTGCTTAATGCCTGCATTATTGCAGCTGTGACAGTAAGTAATTTGCCTGTGGTCTAGATTGGTGACTGAAAACATGAGCCTCAGTTACGATGACACAGAATCAGCTTTGTCACATGTGGTGAAGACCTAAGTCAGCTCTTAAAAAAGGCAGGGCACTGGCCCAGTCTTAGGTGCTGCAATTCACTGTGCAGAGTTGCGTCCCTTGGACATGCCAGAAACCTATGATTGTGGGTTCGAATCCCTGTTAGCCCCTGTTTCTAGGGGCCTGTTTGTCAGCACCATACCCGTGCTCATGGGTTTCACCAAAGTGGTAAATGTCTAAGACCTGCTTCACTTCAGGCTTTCCTCCCTAAGACTGAAATACTGTAACGTGACATTAAACCCAACTCATTCACTCACTCCGAAAACAGCCATGAGTACCTATATTCCCCGACCATCCCAACACGATTTGACATCCAAGAGACCCAATAGTTTTTGAATTAAGGGAATTAAGATGATGTTGGAAAATTTATTATTGTCTGGTATGATACTGCCGGCTCAATAGCTTTTCGGGGCGGTGGGGTAGCCTAGTGGTTAAAGCATTCGCTCTTCATGCTGAAAACCTGGGTTCCATTCCTCACAAGGTACAGTGTGTGATGACCATTTCTGGTGTCCCCTGCCGTGATACTGCTGGAATATTGCTAGTAGCGGCGCTACAGAATACTCTCTCATTCCCAATAGCTGGAAAATGTCTGGAAAAACATGACGTAAATCCTTCAAAGTAATGTGATGAAAATTAAAAAGCATTGTTTGTTATTTGACTATTGCAAAATAACGTGTGCGTTTGACTGGTGTTGAGTTCGTGAGACGGATGTATTATCGAGAATGAATTGTGCTGGCAATGAGGATGAGATTCAAAGAAGACTGGTTCAGTATTTCCTCATGTGGTGCGTTAAATATATATTGTGTTGTAGTATGTGAAATAAAAGCAAAGATATAAATAAGAAACAAATTAGTTCGGAGTTTGTTTTCACCAAGGTTGGCACACACTAAGCTGGTATCCTCCCATTAGTGACACGTCTCGTGTGTCACATACCTTAAAACAACATAGGTCATGGCTGAAGGCGCTGACTGGTCTACCCTATGTTACCTAAGTGTTAGAATGGACTGATCCAAGAAAAGTAGAAAAGTAATCCTGTACTTTATGTGGGTCATAATCAAAATGTGTACCCCTTTTGGTCCTGTTGAATAAACAGAAATATAACTTGAAAATTGCAACTTTTAGTGATTTAACAAGAAACATTTTAAAGTAGCTAATAGTTGGATACATTATGCCATCAAAAAGAAACATAATTTGATCATATTTTAAATATTTTCACATCACAATCTTTCGGTAGGAAATGATGCACTACGGCTCATGTGGCATATTTGCAATATTTATTTAGAAATGGCTATCCAAAACAATTGATTTTTCCTATGTTCTGAACACTTGTGTCAAACCATGGATATTTCCTTTGCTGTTTGATATTTCATGTCATTCTTGGAATTATGTCATACATATTTTTGTGTGAAATAGATCCTTACAATGAAGAAAGAAATTTAATATAGAAATATCAGTTTATCAGTAATGTTTATTCCTGATAACTTGAATCCATCCAAGTCCTGTGATAATTGTGTGATATTGCCCATAGGGTATTGATGAAATTATTGTAATCGGTGCAATGTTTCAAATAGTTGAAGAGGACTTCATCTTTTGTTTATGGGGTCACATAAAAGTTCGTGTGACTGAAGTTGTGATGGAAAACCCTCATTTCATAGCACACCTGACTGAAAGACAAGTAAGTTGTAATGCGTCTTGTGTTATTAATAACTCAATAACCACGGCGCCATTGAAACAGAATCTTCAATGAGGGGTGGTCGGGTAGCCTTGTGGTTAAAGTGTTTGCTCGTCACACCGACCTGGGTTCAATTCCTGACATGGGTACAATGTGTGAACCCCTATCTGGTGTCCCCACCATGAAATTGCTTGAATATTGCTAAAAGCAGCGTAAACCATACTCACTCACTTCCAAACAATGATAACACCCTGAGGAAAGCCCAAAGTGATGTCAGCGATGATGAAAGCCTGATTTTTGTCTTTACATTTTTGTTCAAAATTAAATGAAATTTGGTGTGAATGGAATTAGTAGTGTGACTTAGGACATGTTCCATTTTTCGTTCGCAATAGTTGACCTTTCTGGCCTTTGAACTTTGACCATGTGTTCACAAATGGATTGGCTCAGTAAAGATATCCCCAGAAACAACTGGACCAATATCTTAAATGTTAAGTGGCACCCTTTGACGACCTTTTATACCGTTGACAACACATCCAATTGAGCGACAGTGCTGTGGCACAATTTTCTACATTTCTTTCAGAAAAATATATGTTATACATGGAATAAATTATTCTGTCTCGGTTTATAAATTAACTTTTCTTTTGTGAAAATATTCTTCAAAATTGTTTCTCATGATCCAAGGATCTTGTAGGTTATTCTCTGATAGTATTACTGGTGGTGTGTTGATCATTGCTGCAGGAAATCGACCCATCAAAAATGCACGCAACATCCTTCTCACCAACCTTGCTTGATAATTGCTGTGTACTGTACCTATATATATGCTTAATTCAGGCACTTCTCAAATTATGAATGAAGTAGTCAATATTCAACCATGCTCTACTTTTAGTATTTAACCTTTACTCATTAAGAGTAACCTCAAAAATTGTTCATGGGTTCCAAAACCAAAGGATTGGAATCATGTAATATGATGGAAGTGGAATAGTGCAAACAAAATCATTTCTTATAGATAACAGGTAATGCTAATTTGCATGTTATTATTCTGTAGGATGTTAAGTTTATCTTCATTGAAGATTTCTCATTTGGATGATGGGACCAATTAAGTTTTTAAGAGTGTAAAATTATGACCATGCCAAATTTTACCAAATCAGCTGATCCCTTTCAGATGAAGAGAATCTTACAATAAAGTAGAAGTAGGTTTAAAAGACATGTTTGGACATGAATTGGAGACTGATTTGTATATAAAGGGAGGCTACTCTTCCATGACTATGATGACAAATCCCATTTCCAATTTTGGTCCCATGAGAACAACCAAACAACTAATCCAAGTTTAGAATGATTTGGCAAGTCAATTAAATTAAGCATTCTTCCATTTAGGTATTATTTTTGTATGTGTCATTAAATAAGAACTTTATTAAAAAAAAAGATAAGTAGCTGGCACAGTTGCTCACCTGGTATATGTCATCCAAAACAACTTAATGAGGCCCTCATGTATAATCACATCCTGGCTTCGAGTCCAGGAATGATTTTGTTTGAGTGGCCTGCTCATCTAAGGCAGCACTATTCACTGTGCCGAGGTCAGCATATTAAAACATATGATCGTGGTTTCGCATCCCAGAAATACCAAGATGATGTTTCTAGGTTTCTCAGCACCATAACTGTGCATGGGTTTTCCCCAAAGGGGTAAACATCTTCACTTCTGGCTGCTTCAGACAGACATGCTGTCTCACAGCTAAACTGCCGTTCAAAACGGCATTAAACACCAATCTGTTATGTTCCACCCTTCAGAAGGATAACCGATTTTCAATTTACCTTATCTCATGAGATGTTGACAGTTTTACTATGCATGATGGGATAAGTGTTACAAAACATTTGGTAATTTTAAAAATAAAATAGAAATCCCACCATTTGAAGTCACTCTGCTTGTCCAAATGGTGATTTTGCAAGAAGTCGTCTTTGCATGGACTTTTGGTTGTTAAAAGTAAACACCCGGTGTGGGATGAAGTTCAAATGAATTGAGAAAATGTTAGTTTTGCACTGTTAACAATTTCTATGAGTGAACTCATTTCTATATCGAAGCATTTTGGCTATTGTGACTTATTGGTGTAGGAGAGGAATTGTGACCATGCTAGGCTTAAAATGTGACTAATCTGTGGTGCAATGGGGCTAAGCATCGTGTGTACTTATTTTGCATGTGTGGTTTCTTGTATTAGGAGACTTATGCCTGTTTTTTTTAGTGCCAACCAACTGAGATGCCATGCCACAAACATGGACACCCCTACTCAGTGTACCGACCAATCCTTGTATTATGGAAACCCCTACTCACAGTGTACCGACCAATCCTTGTATTATGAACACCCCTACTCCAAGCATACCGACCAATCTTTGTATTATGGACACCCCTCTAACAGTCTACCGACCAATCCTTGTATTATGGACACCCCTACTCACAGCATACGGACCAATCCTTGTATTATGGACACTCCTACTCAGTGTACTGACAAATCCTTGTATTATGGACACCCCTACTCACAGCATACCGACCACTCCTTGTATTATGGACACCCCTACTCACAGCATACTGACCAATCCTTGTATTATTGACCCCTACTCACAGCATACCGACCAATCCTTGTATTATTGACCCCTACTCACAGCATACCGACCAATCCTTGTATTATGGACCCCTACTCACAGCATACCGACCAATCCTTGTATTATGGACCCCTACTCACAGCGTACTGACCAATCCTTGTATTATCCCATTACTGCATAGCTCCTGGAAGGGTAACAAGTACCACCTTTTAACGTCTTTTGGTATGACCAGTGATTGAACCACCGACCTTCCCCTCTCTGGGTAGACACTATCCACTAGAACAAGTAATCTGAATAGATTTTATTCCTACTTTACCCTTTGCACAATACTGAAAGTCTCCTATTCCTTATACTTCCATCTTACTGAGGCAAGGGCGTCTACTGATGTCAAGTCCAGTTTCCAACCTTGCCTAACTATGCTGGAATTTCCAGGCTCGATCATAGCACCACCAATGGCTATTAGAGTTGTCCCTTCTATGTCCCTCCTACTGACCAAAAAGGATTCCATCTCTTAAATTACTTGCTTTTGCTTCAAACAAAATGGTGGCCCAAAGTTAAAACGATTTGATCGATAATTAGGGTTTATGTTGTAATAAAACAGGTCTTACCCCCACCCCCCACCCCCCACCCCCCAATTGGGATACGATGACATGCATCCACCACCGGAATACTGTTCATGTACCAGCCTTGTTCGGCAAGGGTGGAAACTCAGTTATAGATTAGTGACACTCAACTGAAACTTTTGAGCTTAAATGTCATCCAGCTGGCTGGTAAGTACATGTATTTGTACAATACCAGTGTGTAATGTTAAACCACGACAAATTTCATGTACTGCACACCAGACTTCTGCTCAAGACAGGTCTCCTAAGAATCCAGTGACATGTGCGTGGTCCATACCACAATATTCCAGCAAATACAGTTGCCTGTAAATAATACTGTCTTGGCCCAAGAAGTTGAGGTTTGAGAACGATCAACACTGGGTACAGATATTGACCGTATCGCCTTTGGGCTTGGGATACCATGTGACCAATTTGGCCCTGAATCATGTTCGGCTCTGGGGTCATGTAAGAAATTCCTTGCAAGGCCCGACTTGACAAACAACAGGGTCAACAGTATATATAAAACACCATCTTTTTTATTGTCGTCATGCACAGAGGTACTAAAACAGTCAGCTACAACTACATTTGGCTAAGAGCGTTACAAAAAAGTGGCATGAATGAATCACTAGGTTGATGGTATACTAATTAACGTCAAAAAATGAAAATCTATCAAAATTGCCTCTATTAAATGCAAATACTATATACTTTGAAAAAAAAAATCTCTTCACAAATATTCATCATGTAAAACATGTTCATAGATAATATATAGATAAAAGATGGGGGGAAAGAGTGAATGCATGATAGATGAGTGGTTTATGTAAAAAAAACTTTTAAAATTTCACAACCCTTAGTAATGATAGAAGAAATTTTGCTCACGCCAAAGAAGCAGTTATTCACCAGATACTTCTGACTAAAATAACATCCTACTACATTTCTTGGTCATAAATATATATATTTGTAGTTAAAATAAACTCGTTCAACAAAATAAAATTTTGATTGATAATCAGAAAAACGCATGTAAAACGGAAGCGTCACATGGCATTTTTTGTATTCCTTCAATACAGCTGCAGAATGACATCTCAGAAGTGACAGTGCCAATGTAGTGTTAATGTGTTGAAAAAGGACTACCTCTCCAAAACTTGTTCTGAAAGGAATGAAATAATGAAACTATATACATTACTGGTCCTGCCATTATAAAATTCGGATTAACATTTCAAAAACTGACAAAGTACAAGGTTTACATTGAGAATCATACACATAGCCAACAGAAAACACCTTAGACATTAAGTCTTGCTTCTGTAAATAGCATAAATAGATTTTTTTTTTCAGTCAAGTAGTCACTGATATGCTTGAAGGCTGCTCCAACCAAACCCTGTCAGTCCACTGTCAGTATTTGACACAGCTAGCTGTATCCTTGTGACTCGATCCTAACAGTTTGCACTAGCTTGTACAGATCCACTTCCTTCTCAAGTCAGTCAATCCGACTGTTGATTAAGTGTCTTTACCACTGTTCTGTTCAGAGTTCAGAGTTCAAAGGTCGGTATCGAACCAGGCCATGCCTTGATTATCCCCTCCTTGGGGCTGTTGGGGGAGACTGGAGTCGAGAGTTTCGAAATTAAGATCTCCTGATCCAGGGCCCAGATCGGGCAAATTGTCCATGTGGCCATAGCCACTACCGTGGTGGCTGCCGATTTCTAGGCCTTGCATTGAATTTATTGGGACTTGTCCTTCATAATCTGGAAGAAATTCGTTCCTTGGTTCAAATGTGCAGATTTCAGTTGAAGCCTTTTAATTTAAGAAATATCTGGATATCAGGTCCAATAATGCAATTGTACATATCTGAATATTTTCATGCTCTCAATTAAATCATACTAAATTGTTATTCCTGAACAATTACATTGCTATATATTTCATTCAATATTGTTTACTTTGGCAATGCCTGAACTATTAGTTATATTGAATACACAATGCCTTTATGAATCCCCTCTACTAATTGTTTAAAATTGCCCTGAAACATCCATGAAAACCATGATTGGGTGCCTCACCCTGAGTGGGTTCAAACCCCAGATGGGACTAGAATATGTACTTTATCTTAAACAATTGTCATCCCAAACCTAACATTTGTTATAGATGTATTGATACTAGTCTGTGGGAAATTAAATCTTGTAACTTTACACGATGTCTTGTCTGAGATAAGGTTAGTGTCTATACCTGATTGTCCTCGATCCATGTCATGTTGGCTACCACTGTACATACTTCCTTGACTTCCATGATGGGGAGGGGCATACAACGTGTCACTGGTACCCTCCGGGGGCAGGTTCATCCCGACATTGAACCCTGGGGGCTGAAGTAAACAGACATGTTAGCGAGGCATCTTCACTTCGTATCTCACAAGCTCAATTCCTTAAGTCCCCAGATGGCTGGTAGACCAAAATGGTTTTACCACAAAACACAATTAAAACGCTCGAGCAGGCATAGATATGGCCCCAAGTCCATTAATCATAGATGAGTGAGTGAGTGAGTATGGTTTTACGCCGCTTTTAGCAATATTCCAGCATTATCACGGCGGGGGACACCAGAAATGGGCTTCACACATTGTGCCCATGTCGGGAATCGAACCCGGGTCTTCGGCGTGACGAGCGAACGCTTTAACCACCAGGCTACCCGACCGCCCCTAATCATAGATGAATGAAAAAACCTGGAGGAACTAGCTGTTTTTTATGAAAGCTATTACACATAAACCACTTCTCCAAAATGAGTTGCGGAATACAAATTTGGCAAACAAATTATGGGGCAATCATATTTCTGGTAAATGTTGATTGATCTCAAATGGATTTCTTTACATTTTACCATTAGATAATTAAAGTTTCATTTAATGGAAAAACTGAAAACAGCGACAACATGCAAGTGTCCTTTCCACAACCATTGCGAGTCACCTTCGACTTATTCAGACTCAAAACTATGACGCATGTTCCAAGGACCTACCTCTGACCAAGGGATGTTCTGGTCTCCTCTGTACAGGGAGCTGGTCAGTTCCATGGACAGTCTCTTCTTGTAGTCCTGGGGCTTATCTTCAGACATGCGGAACAGCACAGCAGCGGCATAGGTTGCTGCAGAGGAAATATGTACGTCAGCAACATTTAAATCTCACAAGTTGTGTTTATTCGTTTGTTGTTTAATGCCGCAATCAGCAATATTACAGCTAAAGGAAGGCGGTCTGTAAATAATACAGTCTGGACCACAGTCCAGTGATATCATGAGCATCGAGCCACGCAATTTGGATACGATGGCATGAATCAACCAAGTCAGTGAGCCTGACTTAGGTATGGGGCTGACAAACCTAGAAACATAATCGGGGCGAACCGGGATTCGAACCCACAATCATAGGTTACTGGCGTGCCCAGGGCACGCAACTCTGCACAGCGAATCGAGGCGCCTTAGACGACTGGGCCACCCATGCCCCCCATCTACTGTGCTAGGCTGAATCCAGTGGACATAAATGAATTTCTATACTGATGCATCTTATTGTTTTGAATATGTACACATTACCACTTACCAACACCCTCATTCCGTGAGTGTAGCAGCTCGGTGAGGGGGGCAGTGGCGCCCTCTTGTTCGATCATCTCGGCTCCCTCCTTGTCAGCGGCCAGCTCGCACAGCACGCCCGCTGCCACTCTCTGGATGTTCTCAACGGGGGAATACAGCAGCTGCAACCACACAACCAGCTGAACTTAGTCTGCGTTTACAGCATCATGCATAACACAGGACAGTTGGCCCACAGGGGCTGGCACGAGCAGGGTTGTGTCAGTACCAACATATCGACATAGCCATTAATAACAAAATTATTGCTCTATGAAAATGACCTTTGTAGACCTAGAATTAGTTTAGTGCTAAATTGAACAGGTTGATCCATTAAATGTCCAAAATTGAAATCAGCCTTCTCACTGTTCATAAAAAACGTGGTAATAATTTGTGGCAGTGAATTTCAAATTTTATTGATATGATATATGACAACATCCCAAGTCATGACACTGGACTAAAAACATTTCAGACACTCAGCACTTGCAGTAGCTTCCAGGACATTTATTCTCAAAAAAGAATGTGCTTTGGAATACGAGGAACAAAAGCAAATCGAACCTTAAGCACTTCTGCAATGACATGTCGGTAATAATTTCTATTGTAAATAATTTCTGATAAAGTCTAAGTACCTGAACGAAAAGTGGGATACAATTCAGGCCTCTGATGACTGCTCTGTTGTGAGCCTCGCGGGCGAGGATGTGAAGTGCCCCAACTGTTCCCTCAACGATCTCCTCCATTCTGACACCATCGACATAGCTGGAACCGCCATTATTGGAACTGATGGAGGCTCTCTGCAACAAAAACAAGGCATCTGAAACTTTTGCTCTTAGTAAGACACTAAATAAGTGATAAATATTTTTACAAATTTTAAAAAAGAAAACAGCATTTATGTTCTCAATCACATGAATAAAGTTAATGCTTAACAGAAATAAGTAGGCATGTTTACAATGAGATTACTAGAAATTATTCAGAAGCAAATTTGTAACATATGCAAAATAAACCACTGACCCGGGTGCTTGTGTAAAAATACACATGAATTGCTTTGCACAAAAACCCTGAATAACATTACACTGTATAATTATTGTACCACATCAATGTCGGCATCTATTCATAAACTCTGTTGAAGGGAGCATTGTTTGACCTGCCATGTATTATTAGCTGTGATGTTCCGACCAAACGAAAACTTGAATATCTTACAAAGCACATGGCAACTTACCCTTTGAGTGTCCTGGTGTGCTCTGATGAGGAGTTGTACGATGCGGGGTAGAGCACCGTGTTCCCGGAGTGGGGCGTGGTTTGCAGGGCACAGGGCGAGGTTACGGATCAGACCAACAACAGCCTTGATGAGGGGCCAGCGACTTGGTGGGTGAAGGAGCTTGACTAGCACTGGAAGGCCGTAGTGGAGGCGCACAGCATTCTGGGCCATTTCTGCTTCTGGGTGACGGGCTGTCAAGTGGCGTAGAGCACACACCTAGGAAAGAAATAAGGAATAACTTATTGGATGTTTGCATAAACATATATGGATGGACGTTTGCATCAAAAGGTATGCTGATGGCGATGTTTTCATTATTTTAATAGCAGCCGGGGAAAATAAAGAATGGGTTTGCATGCTAAGCTTTCTCCAACTTGCAACTTGCAACCATAGGGTAGCTGTACAGGAACAAAGAATGTGCTTCACTCGCTGCACCCTACAGTTTCAACTTCCAACATAGCACAGGCATCTAATTCACCGATTGTGAGGTGAGATGGGGTTTAACGTCACGTCCAAGATAATTGCACTTATATAGCGACGTGCATGTACGTGTGTGTTTTTGTGTGGCTGCTTGTACTAGTCCGGACTGATGCCGATTTATAGTGCTAGCCCACAGATACCATGCCGCAGTTTAACATGAATACCCCAGTCAGACACAGTATACTGACTCCCAGCCGACCAGTCCTTGTTTTAGCCCCTTAATGCCGAAAGCCAGACAGGGTAACAACAAGTACCATCTTTTAACGTCTTGGTATGACGCGGTTGGGGATCGAACCCCGGACCTTCCGCTCTCCCACTAGACCACGGAGGCGGTTCACCAATTGTGAATTTTTTTTAATAGGGTCCCGGTTTTTCAGTACATAGATATGTTTCCAAAAAGACGGAATTGTGAAAAAAGTCTTGAGAAAATCAAGGGAAGGTAATCATGGACTTGCTACTCACAGCTGGTTCGGTGATTTCCTCTCGGTCTCCGGCCTGCATGATGGTCCGTACTAGCGCCTCGATTCCGCCAACCTGGCATACCATCACTTTGTTCCTCTGGTTGTTGCAGGTCAAGTTGGACAGAATACCTGCGGCACAGGTGACTACATTGATGTCGTTGGATGTTAGGAGTTGGACCAACATCTGGAGGAGGCCTTCAACTGCATCCTGGATGGATGAAATCAACATGAAATCATGAAACTCCGGCACAGTGAAGGATAAAGAAGCTAAAAATCTATTAAGTAACATGATGTTAAGCTGATAATTCTCATGGCACTGGCTTGCTACTTCATGAAGAAGCAAGCAGTTTTCGAGTAGCAATACATAGAAATGTTTGTTTTTTAATGCCACACTCAGCAATATTCCAGCTATATGTTGGCAGTCTGCAAGTAATCATGTTTGGACCAGACAACTCGGTGACTGATACCCTGAGCATCGATCCACGCAATTGGGATACGATGGCATGCATCAACCAAGTCAACAAGTCTGACCACCCGATCCTGTTAGTCACCACTTACAACAAGAATAGTCTTTTACGGCAAGCATGGGTTGCTGAAGACCTATTCTACCACGGATCTTCACGGGTCGGTTTCTTGGTCGCAATACATGGAAATGAAAAGACTGAAATGGACGACACTGTCAGTATGGCTGAACAGAGATTATTGCTGAACACCGCATCAGCAATATTGCAGCTATTGCAGGAAGATGGAACAAGTGAGAAGGGTTCAATGGGTAAATTTCTGCTTCATGTAGCATGTGACACTTACAATTCTTGTTGCAGCATCAGACAAGTTTCTGAGTGTCCACAGACAGTTCTGGACCAGCCTCTGACTCTGATGACCAAGGTGCATAGCCAGGCTTGCCATTCCTCCTGCAGATGGGAAATACAGATCAATATTTACAGTAATTACCATTATCATCTTAAAGCTTCATCTTACTCTCAAAATGTCTTTGCCATGTTTACCATTGAAGTCCATAAACTAAGTGGGTTTAATGCAGATTTTACAGTATTCCAGTTATATCACGGTGTGTCAGCTTAATGTGGGCGGAAAGCCCGAAGTGATGCAGGTCTCAGACTTTGACCACTTAAGTGAAATCCACGAGCACGGGTATGGCGCTGACAAATCTAGAAACATAATTGGGGCTGCAAACTAAGACAACAATCTACTGAAACAACAGAAAGATACAACTTTAAGCAAGAAGACCAGGCATCATACATCTAAATTTCGAGGAGCTTTTTCTGAAATATCTATCTTGACGGTTAAAACTCCCAAGACACTGAACTGACAATAGCGCTCATAGGTAGGCTACATACCTGCTTCTACAATGGCTGGCTTGTTGCTGGAGCAGACCGATAGCACCTTCAGAACACGAGATGTTGTCCACAACAGTTTTTCATATGTGTAGGATTTCATGATACGGACCAGCTCTCCGGGTCCTCCACTGGCTAGGATGATCAGCTGCAGATGAGAATTCCATGAGTTAGCCAAACACAACAAGCAGTATTATCTGGAAGGGACAGTGGTGAGCAAGTTGGGTTTCCATTTATATCGCGGCATGTCAGCTTGATGTGGGAGGAAAGCCCCAAGTGATGCAGGTTTCAGACGTTTAGCACTCCGGTGAAACCCACGAGCACGGGTATGGTGCTGACAAACCTAGAAACATAATTGGGGCAAACCGGAATTCGAACCCACAATCATAGGTTTCTGGCGTGCCCAAGGGACAAATCTGCACAGCAAATTGCGGCGCCTAAGACGACTGGGCCGCCTGTACCCCCTGGAAGGGACACGCTCGGACCTGTTGTGGAGTATACTACATGCAAGTTCCTCCAATTATCTGTACTGAAGACGGGCATTGTGATGGAGTTAGAAAATCAAGTTTGATACCTGGTTTTCTAAGTGAGTGAATTTGATTTTACGCCCTTTTTTAAACAATATTCCAGCAACATCACGTCGGGGACACCACAAATGGACTTCACAAATTCTACCCATGTCAGGAATCGAACCCGGGTCTTCTGCATGACGAGCGAACACTTTAACCCCTAGGCTATCCGACCGCCCCGGTTTTCTAAGTCTAGACAATAGTAATACTACTATGAACCTGAAATTGTTATTAGTGTATGGACGACTGATTTTGACAACATGGGAAAGGAGTGAGCTTTCCTGCCTGGCACATGCATAAGAGGTTTGGGAATGGGAACTATTTAGTGGCACAACTAATTATGGATAGTTGATAGTGAAGGGGACTTCTGTTGAAAATATCTGAACATTTTTCTAGTATGACGGCCAAAATACAGGAAATTGGCAATAACAGAGGTAGGGTATTCACAAGTCTAAATCATGTTCCAATAAGACCCAGCTTGTTCGTGTCATGTCATGTTCTCAAATAGATGTTGAATCCTAAAACACTCACTTTGCTTTCCTGGTTTCCATAGGCAAGGATCTGCAGACAGTCGGTGGTGATAGCGAGGAACTTGACATTGTTGTTTCTTTGTAGGAGTGCAACCATCTTCTGTAAGCCTCCCGCCAGGCGCACGGCCATCTTGGACCCCTCTTGATGGAGCAGGAGGTTGTGCAGTGTGGTGATTGCATAGAACAGGACTGACTCCACTGGTGAACTGGAAACAGACACTCATGATATAAACTAAGTGAGTGAGTATGGTTTAAGCCGCTTTTAGCAATATCACGGCAGGGGACAACAGAAATGGGCTTCACACATTGTACCCATGTCAGGAATCGAACCCATGTCATCGGCATGACGAGCGAACGCTTAACCACTAGGCTACCCGACCGTCCCTGATATAAACTATGCTTATAAGTGACTTCCTACTCAAATCAAATGCACGGAACTAAATACTGACCTCCATAATCATATTTTCAGGTTATTTTGCAGTTGGTATACAAGCTGAAATAGTAGCTACCAAATTCCTGGCATATATTTGACAAGATCCTTTTCTGGGTAATTTATATTAGGTATATTGAAGGAAAATCAGTATGTACGACTGAATAAAAGAAAGTTAAGGAATACACATTTCATTAATATTACCGTCACGGCTTAACATTTTTTTGTACTGATTATACACAATATCGTAGTTATTAGTTAGTTATGACTGAAATGTTAAACATTGAAAATGACAATTCTTGCATGCAATTAAGTCAACAGTTTTCCTTCCTCCTTTCTGAAATTGTTTGAAAGATTGGTTGGAGCTTTCCTCGTACCTGAGGAGTTTGACAAGAGCTGGTATTCCTCCAGATTTGAATATGGCCAGGAGACCCTGTCTATGATGTGACAAGTTGTGCAGGGTTCCGGCGGCACAGCGAGTGGTCTCCAGGTCGTCTGTGTTGTTCATGGCACGCACGAGAGCAGCAACCATTTGGGGGGAATTCATGATGGCGTGGCGACTGGCCTCTTTCTTTGACAGCTGGTGTACCATCATCGCTGCTTGGCTCACCACCACTTGGTCCTCGTCATTCAGCAGTTTGATCAGCTCGGGGATGGCCCTTGTTGCCAGATCAGCATCATCCTAAACAACAAACAGTATGTATTAATCTGTTTCAAATGAAACCAAATTAATTATATCATTTTATTTATTTTAACATTGATAAAGGCTACTTTCTAGAAGAAACTAAGTTTAAAGATAGAAAACTGTTTACTTGTTTATTAACGCCGCAATATTCCAGCTATATGACAGTGATCTGAAAATAATCGAGTCTGGACCAGACAAGCCAGTGATTGATGTGATGAGCATTGATCCACGCAATTGGGATACGATACACATGCATCAACCAAGTCAGCGAGTCTGACCACCCGATTAATCGCTTCTTACGAAAAGCATAGTCACATTTTACAGCAAGCATGGTTTGATGAAGACCTATTCTAACCGGATCTTCATGGGTAAGTTACAAGCTTGAAGTGTATAAGCTTACAAATGTTGGTGATTTTTGCCTAAAGAAAATCTCCATTAAGGAAACACATGGACCTTAAGAAATATGGACATCACATCCTGTATCTGTAAGGAATCAAACCTGGGCTGATAAGCCAACATAGTAACCATTGGCCTATTCAGATGTTTGTGCATGTTGTTTAAGTCTGCAATAAGTGGTCCATAAGTTATCCAGATAATCCAGTGATTGATTCCACAAGTGAGGCAAGACTAAGTACCTGGTAGTTGATGAGATTGACAACAGCGTGTTTCAGCATCTGCGATGGTTCGCTGAGCCTCTGAACTGCTGTGGGCTGGTCAGGGTGTATTTGTGTGGAGGGGATCTGGACACCAGCAGGCAGCGTCTCTGGGAACATGGCTGCTCGCACTCGTTGGGAGCGGGTTTGATTCAACTGCTGGTTGATATCTGAGAAAAAAGGCATCAACGTTATTTTTTTATCAGATTTATTGATGTATCTGTATTAGGATCATGTCACTACATTTCTATTCTGGAGTCGACATTTTTGTCATCAATTGTAATTTATACTTAAATGAATATGAATAAATAAATTAAGATTAGCTGACGTTTCTTTAATCTCTCCACTATTAAAGCAATTAAATGACATCATTGACTTAATGATTTCACGTACCATCCACCTGTTCCTGGCCATAGCCGTCGCTGAAGTTGCCTGGCCCCCAGTCAAACATCATCTTGGATGGATCCATGTTCTCATCCTCTATTTCTTCCCCGGGGCCAGTCTTGCTGCTGATGGAGGGGGCCTGCAACACCACAACACACCTTGCATTGTCTCAACATTCCCAGCATTGATTCCATTTGGTTCCAACATGCCAGGTATAATAAGCTTATTGACACGCCTATCTTAATGTGGGACTGATACTGTACAGATTTGGTTTTGTTCACACGTCACATATTTACCAGGGAACTGGCTTAGAACTAATACAGGGATGACAATGGGTATTTTCCTTTTCCGTCGAACCGTCTTTGCAATGGAGCGTGGTCAGTAAATTGGAGGTGTTGATGGGTGAAGCCATCAGATTTTAACAAATTTATGGTCAATAAAATTCTCAGAAGATTCTCACCCCTGCTTATATCAAAATAGATCATTATCAAAAAGCAAACTGTCTTTGCTTTTTATCTGTTAAGGGCAGAGGCAGTAAAAAAGAAGAATTATCTTCAAGTATCAAGGTTTCAGATCTGTTCATTTTTAGGATATTAACCAATGGTAATAGAAAAGTGGCCAAAAATATTTTTCAAATTTGGAAATTAGAAAGTCAAACATTGCTGAAAATCATAAAACAGGTTTCTAGCATATTCTCACCTGTGTGGTTGCACCTGAGTGGATGCCAGAATCTGTCATGTACTGGTTCTGCTGCCACATCATGGTCTGTTGTTGCTTGTTCTCCATTGGCATGTCGGACAAATCCATGTAGTTACCGCTGCTAGGACCAACTAAAATACAAAACAGTCATTAATTGGCCTGTCATGCTATGAACAATGATCATACTATGAACATTGTGTAAAATGCAATATTTATCTATAAAATTTATTTCATTTAGAGAAGTGACAACTTATGCCGGAACTACTTTCAGTCTACCTCAATGACACCATGGTTTTGAGGGTCACACCATGAAAGAAAACAAATATAACACTGTCTTTATCTTGTGAAATAACATGTTATATTTCATCTCATGGCCTGCAAAGTTGACATTTTCACTTGTGGCTGCACCATTCAATGAAATATCTTAAAAAGACAATTACATCGTCTATATATTCTCCATATAGCCATTGAAACCTGGACAGTACAATCTTTTTTCTGTCAGCTCAGCTCCCATACATCATCCACATTGTAACACCAAAATCTACGGCAGCAGTTTGCAATATAACCACTTTTAAGACCCCCCACCATCTTGTAAAATTGCTTTTGGTCCATTAAGCCAAGCTAAAATACTGGAAATGTCACATGTTAATACATACCACTCAGAATAATTTTTCATACAAGCATTAAGTAAACAATATGCCACTTTCAAGACAGAAGGAAACACCTTGAAAATCCCAACTGTGCTGCTAACACGAACAACTTGTTACCACTATTTAGTGTTTTACAATGGGCCCCCTACATCTCACGTTTACAAATTATTTCAGTTATAACTGACTAACGAACTAAATTTCCGCTACATCAAACAGTTCTTATTGAAATCTTTAATACCTACAAAATACACAATTCACTAAGACTGAATCTGCAAACAAATCAATATTCCTTGACAGTAGACACAAATTAATTTAAATCTGCATACCTCAGCTTGTGTATTTTCACAGCAGGGACTGGTTTATAAAACTTCTTTTTTTTCCAAAACACTACCCCTCCCCCTCCAAAAAGGAATTCAAAATCTGTGTCAAAAAGAACAGTTCAGGAAATGTCAATGGTAGCATTAAACAACTAGTGAAAGCTAACAATATTTACCTAACTAGGTTCACAGAAATTCCTTGTTGACGAATACACTTCCCTTCATATGCCTTGTCCAGGCAGGTACGAGCTCACGCATCAACACGAAACTCGCTAGGCTATGTTTACAGATAGCATACTAAACATGCTACCACTGCTCTATGACAAGGAAAAATCGTGGTCCGGGATTTTACTAGGATTACGCCTTGCTCCAAAATAGATCCTGCCATGTCTTGGCAACTGTTATATTTAGATGATCAATACTTGAACAATATACCATCCGACCTCACTATGCCGTTAGCACATTGTTTTTTATCAGCTGAAAAGTCTCGCAAAATGTTGTGAATCCTTATACTTAGTTTTCTGAAAGCGAAACTTCCATTTAGAAATAAATAAAAACGGGCATTAAAAACGTATGCTAATTACAAAAGGTATGTGGTGTTTACAAGTGCCAAACATTTCTACACGCCTTCCTTGTTTTTCAAAATTGAAATTAGCCATGCATGAAATGTTACTGTGTTTTTCATAAAAACACTTGCTTTCCTAATGTCGTGGGAGAAGGCTTCAGTTTATAAATAATCAACTCGGATATAGCAAAGTGACTGACTCATAGTCCTGTTACTTACACCTGTTGTGACACTGACAGATAAATAAACATTCTAGCCTCACTGCATTTTACTGCATGTCATAAGAAATGAAAATTAAGGTTTCAAACAGTTGAAACCAGTAACATATTCAGAGCTCCAAATAAATTTTTGAGCAATTGAGTTTTTACGTAAAGGTTTCTACTTTAATTGGGTTATTACATTTTTCATTGGGGGTCATTTTTTAATAGCTGGTCTATTCACTATCAGGTTTTTCCCCAAACGAGTGAACATTTTAAGATTTACAAAACAATGAAATAATGTTTTAGATATGTTACTATTCTAAATATCTAGTATTGACCATGTTGACTCTGAAAGTAAATTTGTTCGTAATGGTGTTTTGGAAATTAGCTCCTTTGTACACATGCTGATACATTTAATGCTTGCGTTTCTGCACGCAGGTTAATTGAAAGTAAATGGGTTTTGAATAAAAATAATAGTTTCCCTGTGTCACTTTGTTTGTAGGTTATTTAGTTAGTGTGAGCGAGTATGGTTTTACGCCGCTTTTTTTCAACATTCCAGCAATATCTTGGGAGGGACACCAGAAATGGGCTTCACACATTGTACCCATGTCGGGAATTGAACCCGGGTCTTCGGCGTGACGAGCGAACGCTTTAACCACTAGGCTACCCGACCGCCCTGTTATTTAGTTAGAAAGTGCCAAGACAAAAACATAATAAATCTATGCATGCAGCACACATACCATCAATGATCGACTCAATGTCCAGATTTAGTCTCTAAACTGATCTGTTAATCTGAGTTCACTGTTTTCAGTAATGAACTATTATGTTATAATTAACTGAGGCAACAGCACAAAGCTGACTACCTCAAGACAATTGACCAATAGATATTCTCATGCCAGCCATATTTACACTACGTAGAACAGGTTTGAGGCTCTCTTCTAACTAGCACCCAGCACAAGGCTATGTAATGTTATCAGGGAAAATGACCCACTTATAAGAGATGTATGATGCTGGGTAGGCAAATAAATGTTTTTCATCCATACAACCAGACGTTTGAGTTACAGAATAGCCGCATCAGCATTTGTTTCTAACATTTGTTATTGTGCAGTGTCGGGAGGGAGGGTTGCTGAAACAGCCTTTTCTTTTAGTTTGGCGTAACTTGACACTGAATGGGAGCCGCTGATTGTCTAACCACTATCCTTTCTAAAATAGTATAATCGAACAAAAACAAAATGTCTACACTTAGTCATTGTAAATAGGGATCTACTGAGGATATTGTGTGGAATTATTGTCTGCACTATTCATTTCAAGTCGCCTGTATATATCCCAGCCTACCCCACATCAGTGGCCGATAGCGTAACCATCCTGCTCATTTATACATTGTTAAGCTTTAATACTGAGTTTGTCGGAGCTTAGAAAAAGCATAGATTGTTTTTCAAATTATTCAGATTAACAAATGTCTGCATCTCGTATCTGATAGCAATGGCCCTTCCTAAACAAACAGTGTTCCCATTTACCGGTAATTACGTTTTTTTACCGGTAAAATTAGGCTTGGACCGGTAGTCCATGTGACTGCCAGTCCTGGCAAACGAAGTACCTTATAAATCAGTGATATTCATGTAAGTATGTTTTTCAATCTAAGTCAGCTATTTCTATCTCTAGGATAAAAATATCCATCTGTAGCAACTTTGTCTCGAAAAATTACAAAAGAAGAGGAAATCTATACTGTAGTTTGTGTGAATGACGTATAGATCAAACTTAGTCACTTCAGAGAAGACATTTTTGCACTGAAACTGATGTTGAAAGAAATTTTCTTTTCATGCATCTTCATTTGTTGAAAGTTGGGACTGGCAAATATTAGGGACGAACTAGTAATTTTAGGAGTTGCCAGTCCACAAGCACTGGCAGTTTCAAAAGCCAGCGAGAACACTGACAAAGACCTTCCCAATAGTAAATTTCTGAATTAACAGGGTCCAGACTATCAAGGTTTCACTGTAGACTAACTAGGAAAGGAACTGTATACTCACTGGTCCTAGCAGGGTCCCCAGACGCATTCATCTGGTAACTACTCATTGTTCACTTGTGGTCAAATCTGGAAAGAAAACGTAAGTTATTAGGAAATCAGTCATTTTGTAAATCATGGTAAATAGTTTCCTGAATAGGATACTACATTTGACAGGGATTAAAACCTTGCATGTTCAATTAGTCAACATATTCAGGGTAATTTCAACAAGACCTCACATATAATGTTTACAAGATGTATTAGCTGCCTCAAGCTGGATTGTTTGAGGAACTGGGGATATCCATGATTAAGTGCTAATATATCTCATTCATACTCAAATTAAACGATTAAGTTGAGTAACATGACTCGCCTTGTCAGCCTGTCAGTATAGGTACACAATGTCAGGATCTGGCTGAACAATCACTTGACATGCCTAGACCTCGGTGACAAGATAATGTATGTAGGTTTCAAAAGCTATAAGTGTTATTGCTACGTAAATAATAGCATGATATTCTCAACATGTTTTGTAAAGTCAATCTGCCAGAGTTTTCCACTTGGATGACCATGAAAACATGCCAAAACTGTCACATTATCAACAACAATTACAACTTGTCAAAGACAAATTCATATTGTAAAACATCGCATAATGCCCAAGTAACAGTGAACCAACTGAACCAGATTTGTATAAAGTCACAGGAAATAAATTATCCTTTTTCTCATCACCTGCACAAGTCCATCTCTTTGCACAGCCTAGTCAATCAAGATGTCATTTTGCAATGAATCACTGAGCCTGCTCTGAATTCTGTCCATCAAAATGTCACAGTCCTCTCCAAATCATAAAACATCTCGTCAAGACCATGACAATAATCCATGCATCATAAACCCCATAACTGGAAGAGAAGCTTATGAGAATGTAGCGCGTCTTTCCCACAATAAAGAAGATGCCGCATTCCAGAAAACACCATGTTCAGAAATAAGAAAATTCAGCTGCAACGAGCAATAACTACTTCCTTTCATCCGTCTGACAAAAAGTTGACGCTACTAGCCTGAACTTTGCTATCAGCATCCTTTTAAAGACAATTTAGTGTCAAAATATATGGACTAATATCCGAGGTTACTAGACCTATGCTTTGAACAAATAATGTAACAGTCTCTGACTTAACCTATCTTAAATAAAAGACATCCCAGCTCATGTGAGTACAGGGTTGCCCGTCTGACCTTGCCGTAAATAAATAATCTTGTGATGTATTTAAATTTTAGGAAGCATGTTTTCACATGGTTTTTCATGTCAGTTGTAAATGATTAATAGTGAGTAAGGGGCTTCCATGGCATAAACCATTACAGTTAAAGTTACTTGTTATCCTTCAGGATCTGTATTCCCAAAACTTCTAAGGACTTCAGCTTTTGTTACCAAGGTTACAAAGAATTACTACATATATATATAAGGTTAAGTAATAGATATCCCAGGTCACAATTTGAATAAGTTTCATAACATAACATAATAGTGTACACATATCCGATTAAACTGTGAATCAAAGCTAATGAGACAATCAGGGACCAAGTGAGTGAGTACAGTTCCACGCCGCTTTTAGCAATCTTCCAGCAAAATCATGGTGGGGGACACAAGAAATGGGCTTCACACATTGTACCCATGTTGTGAGTTGAACCTGGGTCTACTCGCGATGAGTAAACGCTTGAACCACTAGGCTACCCGACCGCACCTCAGTGAGTTTGGTTTTACGCCGCTTTTAGCAATATTCAAGCAATATCACGGCGGGGGACACCAGAAATGGGCTTCACACATTGTGCCCATGTCAGGAATCAACCCGGGTCTTCGGCGTGACGGGCGAACGCTTTAACCACTAGACTACCCGACCGCCCCGCACCTCAGGGACCAAGGAATATGTCCAGATCATTCTACCAAGTACTTGAGTTAGTAGCAAGTCACATGATAAACCAAGTGTTCTGAAAAGGTTATTGAGTGTGACAAGGTAAGTGTCAATCACCAGTGTCAGATCAGCTCTATTCCAATGTGACACGATACATCGACATGTCTCCCACCGACATGGAGAAGTAGGCCACAAATCAGTCTGAGTAGACACCAGTATACCGTCTACCACACACATCTACAAGTACTCGACAGTCGCTGAGCACTTCAACAGATTACACTTGAAATCATCATTCACACAGACAAATAGTTTGATGTATCAGGCTTCAAAGTTGCGATCTAAATTTCAATTTGTCTACTGTCTAAAATTCAGAGGTAGCCAAATGACTACCTTGAAAAATATCTGGACTAAATTCTATTGCTACACATATTTAGACACTAAAATAAACATGTCTGCTGCTAATTGTACTCGCAAATAATTCCTCCAAAAGTCAACAATGAAGCGAAATACATAAATATCAATGTAATAAGTATGTTATTTTAGTTGATAGTAGATTATATAGGTATACCAGCTTATCCAATAAACTAACATAAATTGCATCATTGTTCGAGTCACAAATAACAAAACTAAGTACAGTTTCCATTAATATACAATAATAGTTATTTGATCAAAGATAATTTCGAATGCTTTTGGCTACCTACAATAATAGCTTACATTTTAATTTTACCACTGGCTACCTGGAAAAATTACTTGTAGCCCTATGGCTATTTGGTAAAAATTTAAACTTTGAGGCCTGTGTATTCAATAAAAATGTTCAGACGCAGTCAACCTCAACTGTATACTTGCAAACACTGTTAGAAATTAAGAACTGTAACTGGAATTAAACTGGATACAAAGAAATTTGCTTTGATGGCCATTTGTAAAAAACAACATTACCTGTCTTGGATATATATCTGGCAGAAGCCTCTTAAAAGAATAATCTCTCAGACTTTTTAGGTTTACTGTTCAGGGCAGTCAACAAGCAGACTATGTCTAGCATTGGTTGTCACTGATGAAATGCGTACTAAGCTGTTTTTGTACTTTTGTAAGTGAAAGATGACCAGGGCTTCTCAGATGTGACAACTATTTACCTGTCAGAGCAGCTAAACACTGGTGAAAAAACCTTGGAAAAATCAGCCACCAAAGTTCTGTAGTTAGTAGACCAATAATTCAACATTCGAAAACTTTGCTAACCAAGATCTGCCATTTGAACAGAGGCTCAAAGAGCGCTGGCAAAAAGAATCTTTTTCAAATAGTTATCCAAGAATAGCCGTCATTCTGACAAGGGCCTTAACCCTCTGCCATGACATGAGCGAGTAGGCCAGTGTGTCGGTGGTTGCACAACACTTCCACTCTAACAATAGTATTCGCATGACATAACTGTCAGACAAACATTTGTCTCTAAAACTTTGAGAAAAATAAACAAATTCAATGTCAATGCACAAATAATATTTTTGAAATACCAAAACAATTAACATGGTCATGATTTAAATATTGAGCAAAAAAATTATCAAACTTGTGATAAGTGAGACAGGTCTTTGAACCTTACACTATGAATTGTACAGGAGAGACCACCTCTGGGATACCATCGGAGAGACGCATTCAAATACTATTTCCTCCCTAGTGAGCATAGCCATGGACAAGGGTGTAAAACGAGCACTCCCTCTATCCCTCCTGACAAGATAATCCCCCAGTGTTTCTCCACGCTTCAGCGGCCCCACTCCTTCACAATGGATGACAGGACAAGCTGGGAGGCAAACCACCTGTCACCTCGTTGAGGGACCGTTGCAATTCAAAATTATCCTCACTACTATAGGCCATGTAAACACTTCATCCCACAAGGGCCCTGTGGCAAAACAGAGACAATGAATACCCACCTAATCCCTACCTTATTAAATCTTCTAGCAAAGTGTTAAATGTTTACAGAATTAAGGATTTTAACAATTTTTTTAATAAATTCAAATTTTGAGAGAAAAACAAAACACTTGCATCACAGACAGACAAGCCCCCAAACATGTGGCCCACATTAAGACTAAGCAATGATGATCAGCATGCAAGATCATGTAGCTATGACGTCAGCAAATGTTCCCGTGTCAAAGCACATAATAAATCTAAGATGTCAATGTCTTAAAATGCAATAAATGAGGGCACTTAGACACAGGTCAAGAAATGACTGAAGATTCTTATCACCTCCTTGCCACTGCCAGATAAGGTGTATCACAACCAGCACTTTTTACTTGGTTATACACAACGTCACTGTTGTAAATCAGGTTTCATATGGGGGTAAGGGGGGTTGGCAGTGGTAGAAATCTAGCACAGGAATGAATTTGGGAATACTGTATTAAAAGCAGCAAACCTTAGTATTCCCTAAATTTCCAACAACATTCTCAAAATATTAATTGTTAAACTTAACGTGTTTTCAAAATTGTCTCGAGTCCTAGGAGATGTGCATCGTCTACAGTATTTGAATCTGAATACCAAAACCATTACCTTTTAAAACTAGGGCTATAACAAAGTCCCTCAATTGTCATGCTAATTTTGAACACTGTTCAATAAAACCTAAAATAATTCTATATAGCCTTAAATTTAAAAAAAACAAACACTTTTTAAATGTATGCATCTCAAATGAGAGCTTCAAACAATGAAAGCAAAACAGTCCTCTCAAAAATTCCTCCAAATGATAACATCAGATAAGACCTACCTAATGAAAATGGTTATCTCCCAGCAGGGTATCCACTGTAATCCAACTGAGGGGAAATCTGATGGGCAGTTGCCCTCCAACACACAAAACTAGAGTCAACTGTTCCTACTTGAACAGTGAATGAAACTATTAAACAAGGAAGGAGAGTAACTGTTGAGAAGGAGCTGATCCTTATCTCTGGCTGGGCTACAGCCACATGAGCTTGGGTGCTGTAAATATTGATAACATATCACCAAGCCAGCCGCTTTGACACATGTCACAGCAAATAATGAACTCACCCACTCCCACAGCAATGGCTGTCAGCTGCCAATAATGGCCTCTCCCATCGGAGCAGTTTGACATATGCCAATCTGTGTCGGCTGACATTTTGGCAGGCACAATAACACTCCACGGATCTCATAGTGCTACAGTATTAGCCTGTTATTACCAAGTGGTTGAGCCATGCTTAACTTCATTTAAAA